TGTTTAGATTGTCAGACAGTTCCATGTAAATGTTCATACAAGCTTGCTATAAACCTGTTTATTTATGGGTGTATTCAATTGTTTGTTTTATATGTGCAGGATGCGGTTTTTTTATACGATTTTATATTGGTAAAACGCTCCTCAGATCGTATGTTTATATGCTTTTACTATGAAAATTTGAGTTTAGGTTCTACATTTATGTCTGTCAATGGACACAGTTATACTGTAGCTAAAATAACTTTTTACATTCATATAGTATTTTTCACATATAGATCGCACAAGTTGTCCATTTTGTCATTATCCCTAAGTTTTCTGATTTTGCCTATGTCATTTGCAAACACAAAATACTACAAAAATTCCCATTTGTTATTTCGTTATACAGTTTAATGGCAAGGCTGAGCAAAAGTAAGATTTTTGCATGTTGTTAGATATCAGTCTTTCTTGGCAGCATCTCATTTGACTCAATGTTTTAAAAAACATATTAGCAGTCTTTAAGTTAAATTCATTTTGACATCTCAGAATAAGCCGAAGAATTCTTAGTGTTGGTCTTATACCATGTCTTCAATAAATAGAGAATATTATATGGCTTTTTTAATATCACATCCGTATCAACCCGAGACACCAATATAATCCCAAGAGCTCTCCTCGAGAGATTAATATATTGGTTGAGGGTTGATACGGTGTGTGATATTGAAAAAGCCATAGCATATACACTTTATTATATACATGTACCTCAAGTACAACTAATCTCTCTTATGTATTTTTCACGAGACATGACGTAATACATATTAGGGGTTTGATAAAGCTTTTGTAACCGTGATTGATATCGATTAAGTGACGGCATACAGATTAGGGGTTTGATAAAGCCTTTGCAACAGTGACTGATATCGATATCATCACGGATGGCTGATACAGTACTATTGTCATCAATTGTATTACACATACAATTTACCTGTATTTACTACTAGGTATTATAAAGTAAAATAATAAATCATTATCACACAGACTTTTAACTCAGACTTTCCAAAATTGTTTTTTTTTTGCAACTAAACTAACGTCTTGTAGACCAGCATTTCATGACCCCCTAACAATAAAACTTGCATTGTAACTCAGATTTTTACTGTTAGGGAGCTACCATTTGATTTTTTTTTTGGGGGGGGGCTAGGTTGAAAAATTTTATCCTGATTTTTTTTTACATAAATTGTCATCCTGCCTTTTTTTTGCCAAGTTGCTCATACTGCCCATTTTTTCAAATTTCATCCTAGCCCCCCTCCCCATACAAAGTCTAGACAATCAGAAAATACAATAGGACAAGGGAGTTATGTTTGTAGGTAAATTGGCATCAATGAAATTTAAACCTAGAATGGATCTTGTGAGCAACATTAATAACAAGTTTTGCTTTTAGTTTCATTTTGTTCAATAGTTTTCGAGAAGGAAATGAACCTACGATAGGTTGATTGATTTTTTTTAGGTGTTTAACACCAATATTCAGCAATGGTTATTTCGCTGTGGCCAGTTTTCATTGGCAAAGGAAGTTGGAGTTCCCGGAGAGAACAAAGACCTCTGGAAGGAAAATGATAAAATAAGAAATGTGAACGGAACAACAGAAGATGGATGCCAAGTGATGGCAATAAAAAGTTTGAAGATTCTAGGGAGTTTTCAAATGTCAATATACTTCATAAGAGAGAGGCGAAAGATACCAAAGGAATATTCAAACTCTCAAGTCGAAAATATACTGACAATGCCATGGCATAAAGTAAAAAACGACCAGAAGACAAACAGTATACAAAACACAACATAGAAAACTTAAGACTGAGCATAACTAACCCCATCAAAAAACAGGTTGATATCAGGTGCTCCTGAAGAGTGAGCATATGCTGATCCACATGTGGCATCCGTCGTGTTGCTCATGTCAGTACAAACACGGTGATAAGTCTATTTCGGTAGGCCATTTTCGAGGAAAAGAGGGAAAATGGACGGAATAGGGTTACTATAATGGGCACATATCCTTCGTCATCTGTGAAATATATATTTCATAACGGTCAACCAATTGTGTGATGTCGTTCGTAAAATTTTCGTAGGGTTGAACTTCACCGCTAGGAACTCTCGCTTAATAGCTTCATTGTTAGCAGCAACTCTCTATCAAGGAAATCATGATATGAAATACAAGCTCTGAATCATCATATCAGCTGGGAGATATATATTCCATTTGCAGGCGCTGCCGGAATGTTGCTACATAAAAATGAAAAGTTCACAATTGGGAAGCTAAAATCATTACTTTTGTTGTAAAGTTAGCAGTTTGTTCCCATGGGAATGCCTATTGTTTGTTGAAAATCACATCCTCCAAACGTAAAAAATGTGTTCTAAATCAAGAAATCAAGCATCTTGATGTCAAATTCAGAGAAGATTTATCCCTCCCTAACACAAGATACGTATATCAATATTGACCATTTTTTTAGGAAACAAAGGACCAATCCATTGTCTTTTAGTTTGGAATGGGGAATGCTTGTGTAAAGGGTAGAAAAGTCAACTGTTTTTAATACTATTGCTAGAGGGAAAATACTTAGATTGTATGTACTCTAACATATCTTTGGAATCCACATCTGATTCAAACAGCCCTAGAGTTTGTAGTCTCACAATTGTATCTTCATATTTACAATTTTCTCTGAATATATCCTAGAAAAGAGGAAAAACAAATTCCCACTCCACGTATTAGAGAGAATGGACAGGGGGAAATTGATATAATCTAAGCCAAAAACATAATTTAAATGCATTGAAAGAAAAATTATTGCTGATTGAAACATATTTAGATGGAATCTAAAAGTATTTACTGTGACTTGACTGTAGGTGTTGCTCTCCACCTATTGCAGTTTATTACAAATTCTAACCAAATTGCATTTTTTTTTATCAAATCAAACTGGTCAACTGGTCAAAAATTCTAACAAACTGCTGTTGAAAACCAGTCAAGTCATGAAAGTGCAAGGTGATAAAATAAAGCATACTTACAATCCTATTAAACTTTAATTCCTATTCATTGATATTATGAAAATTGTGCTAAGGCTTTCTTTACCAATCGTTATTGTAATTGCATTGTGGCCCGAGAACACAGTTATTTCGTAGTGCATTTCTTTTAGACAGTAAAGTCAAGTTAAAAAATTGCACCTGCTCCATCTCAGAAAGATTTTTACATTGTAGTGTACTACTATTGGGACAAATAATATCCAAATTATATGTTAAAAAAATTTGGCTGCTGAGTCTTTATGTTAAGTAGTGATTTGGTCCAGTTAAAAAAGGTCTAAAACTAGTATGTCTGAAGCTGTCAAACTGAATTTTAGACCCCCTTAACATAGAATTGTCAATATTTTGAGTTAGAGCTGAGAGACTTTTCTATAATTTTGATATTATTTGTCCCTATAGTAGTACACTACACTGTAAAAATCTTTATGAGATAGAGCAGGTGCGATTTTTTGAACTTGACTTTACTGTCTTAAAGAAATGCACTACGAAATACCTGTGTTCTCGGGCCACATGACAAATACAATAACGATTGGTAAAGAAATTCTTGGCACGATTTTCATAATATCAATGAATAGGAATTAAAGTCTAATAGGATTGTAAATATGCTTTATTTTATCGCCTTGCGCTTTCACAACTTCACTATAGTTTTCTACAGCAGTTTGTTAAAATTTCTAACCAGTTGAAAAGTTTGGTTTGATAAAACAAATTGCAATTTGGTCAGAATTTTGAATAAACTGCAATAGATGGTGATCATCACTTCCAGTCAAAGTCACAGTAAGATGTTTTCATGGTCTTTGGCCATTAGGCAACCAAATCAACAATATTGGTTGCACATCCAGTCTCCATTGAATTAAGGGATTTAGTGCCTTAACTTCATATTCGAAATCAATTTCAATAGGGCTCTTTAAGTTTATATGAGCAGTGTTCCTAGCAAGTTTTTAGTTATACTTTGGCAAAAATAAAGTGAGTCCTGGAGTGATTCAGTCAGGTATGAGTATGTTCCATATGATTACATAGATGGACACAATAAAGTTGGTTGCTACTATTTCGTGATGAATTATCTGACAACCAAGCTTCAATTGTTGACAGCATATCTATATAATTACATAAAAACACTTTTGTTTGATAGTGATAAAAAAGTTATAGTGTATGAGCCAGATTTATAAATTTGGCCTTTTAATGCTCTTTATCCTTATAATTGATTGGCTTTCCAACTGCTTATATTCTAGAACCACTGGAGAGTCTCATGAAGACTAAATGTGTGTCTGGCGTACTTATTCATAAGCCTGGTATATGGGATAAGTTTTTACCATTCAAATCTGTTCACTAGGGTGTTGTTGGGGGATAATGAAGCATATCTACCCAATTATTTTTTATTTTTTCTAACAGTTAATGAAAACCAGGCTATGATATACCATATTTCTAAACAATTGTTGGTTAATCATTAATACTGTATTTGACATTTACCAGAATACCTTCCTTCAAAGATTCAGATTTCAATTTATAATTTTTAGAAATTAATAGGAAACAGAATGGATTTGCAAAGTCAGATGTATTTCTGTTTTTAAATCATAGACATAATTAGAATTCTGTAAGGTACCACTATGTATTTCTAATTGTTGAACTAAAAGTATTCTTTTTGAAAGATGTCATCCACAAATTTTAATATTCTTTTAAATAATGATCCCAATTATTGTCGCATTAATCTGTTTGGGTTGTTGCCAATCCAATTTTGTCAATATAACGGAACTATAAACAACTGTCATACAAGTAGGAGATTTCGCTATCTATAAAACAAGATTTATCCCACCAATTTTTTCATAAAATGCCTGCACCAAGTCAGGAATATGGCAGTTGTTTTTCGCTTGTTCCCTTGATTGATAGGGTTTGATTTTGACAGTTTTTTTGGACTTCCCCTTTTTTAATTTGCTTTGGAACTCGGTACTTTTGTTATACTTTTTTATGATAATAATAACAAAATATCTTTATAATCCTTTTATTTCTACAAATAAATGCATAATATCACTATTCTTCAGGACCGAATCTACATGATAATAATGTTCACGGGATTTTTTTCTTCTTGTAAAAATAATTAATTCAATGAACAAATCAATATATTAATGACTGTATTAAAAGTATAGATTTAACATCTTTTGAAGAAAACAGTTCTACATTGGAATGATGATTTAAAATGTAAAAGTTACACAATTAGATTTGCTCCCTTGAGCAATTCTTTCTTCTAGCTGAAAATGTCTTGCTAGAAGAATCTTACACCTAAATAACATAAGGCAGAAATTCTTAATATTTCTGAAATCCTGTAAATATATATTTCCTGAATTTCCTGGAAATAATCAAACTTAAGCATATCAGATAAGTCTTATAAATATCTGTTGACTGTCAAAGTTTTTTAACAATGATATGGTAATTAATAAAAGTTCTTACAAATGATAAATGTTCATTCTTTACAGTTTTGTGTTGTTTTTTTTCACAAGAATTGTGTCCAGAATATATGAAAGCAACTACATATTATCTAGCTTCTACAAGTTATAGTTAAAATTAAAATGTTTGATGTTTGATGCCATTGAAGAAACTATAGCAAATAATACTACATACATGAGACATGTATTCTATACAATAAAAATGTACATTCATAATCCCATTAACTGAAGAAACACACTAAACCCAATATATTAGAGCTTAACCCACACTTAGTTAATTCAAAACTGACAAAATAATTCTACAATGTTTTCCCAAAAAAAATAACAACAGATAAGTTACATAAAAAAAATTGTGCACAACCCAAGTATTTGCTATTCAGTATCAGTAAAATTTAAAGTTATTTTTTTCAACATAAAAGATACTAATGAAAAGGCTTACAGAAGAAACATATTTAATAGTAAAATATTTGAAAGACCAATGTTTTTGTTACAAAAAAGAAACAGCAAGCGATTATGTTTTAAATGCACACTACATATAAAGATATATAAACTAAAGGCTTGATAAAAATATCACAATTAATGTAAAAATAAAACTATAAAAAAATCACAGACTAACAAGGCTCATTGTGGTTTATTGATATGACACAGAATATAATAGCAGTTACCTCCCTTTCATTAGACTTATATTTTTAGATTCTCTTCCCTGTAAATATTTGTCCATTTTCTTACTTTTTCATTAGTTTACATATCTGATTGTGTATCTGACCAAAAAGTTAGATGCCATATGTCTAATTTTGGTACTTGCATTTTATAAACAAAATAGTTTTAATCTCAGTTATAGACAGCAGTTCATACCAAAAATCTTTGCATCAAAAAGCAGTAAACAAAAAACAGATTTATAAAATCTCACTTAACAAACAACAATATAAGTTAATAAAGAAAACTTTAAAAATAATAACTGTGTACAATTAATACTGTGAAATACTAAGAAATAAAAAATAACAATAATAAGAAATAACATCAAATAAAATTGAGAATGGAAATGGGGAATGTGTCAAAGAGACAACAACCCGACCATTGAGCAGACAACAAAGTATATATAGCATTTGTACTACTTTTCAATTTCTATAGTTCAGTGAATCAAAAACTGGAAAAGAAAATACTCAAAAAAAATTCAGCTTATGAAAAATTTTGAATATGGTTTATATTAGCATGTAAAAATTGAGCTTTACACAAATACCCTGTGATGATCAAATACTGGAATGTTATAGAATCTAGGTCACATTCTTATATGCTAAAAAATCTAAATTAACGGATACTTTTTGATGCACTATACATGAATTATATAAATTTTATATTAAACACTCAATACATCAACATTAAATGAGAAGGACAGATACATCATATTAGATTGATCTCACCTCCACTGGGCAACTTTGGTTTCAACAATTCTTCATAAAATTGACCTCTTGAAATTAAAATTGGTGAACACTTTAATGATTCCATTAACTGAACTAGGATTTGTCATTTTTATGTTCTAGAAAATAAGTAATGTTGTGAAGATATTTTATACAGGCCATCATAATTTATATAACTGTGTATTCCATAAAAAATCTATTGGAAAAAAGTGAAACATAAACAAGTGAAAAAAAATGTAATATTTGTAAATTCTTTTTTAAAAATGGCTGAAAGCATGTAAACAAATTGCCAGTTGAATATCTTATTCAACAAGCCACTGAGATTTCAAAAAATGCGATTAAATTTTCCTGAAGACAAAATACCACTAAGATGAACAAATGTACACTTCAAAACCCAAAACAATCCCCATCTAACATCCAAATCTAACAAGTCTAATGGATAATAATTGAATTTGAAATTATCTAGTCATCAAAATGAGATTTCATGTGTAAATAATTTCCACATATATATATGAAAATGCATAATTTTTTAAAATTAATACATGATATGCAACATGCATTCATTTATTGATTAGATTTGTAATAAATACATCTACAACAATGATTGTAGCATCTACATAGAGCTTACAAATTTATATTCATGACAATCGTTCTTCTCATTTGAGTAAATGATGGGAAATTGAATGGTCAATTCTGTTGACATCAAACAACTTCCATCTCAAGAAGCATTGCCTATGGCATAACCATTGATTGACATTTTATCAATTATTGAGTTTATTAGTTAGTGAAATCTGTAAGTTCATTGTAGACATATAGTATAACAATGATTATTTTGATATGTTTTTGATATACATGTATATAACTATTCACATGTGGCTACTTCTGTTGTCTGTACTGGTGCTGTCCACGCTAGCTTTGGTGGATCAGCTATAACTTGTGTTGTTTCTCTAACGGGAGCAGTTTGTGTAGGCTCTCGGTGGAATGTAACCTGTCGATCACCCTCCGATGTGGGAGCCGGTGGATGTGGCATAAAACCATCAGTCTGAGTTGCTGACTTTGTTGGGGCTCTAGGACTGGCTACCCAATTTAAACATGAGGCAACGGTTTCCCTGTATCGTATAGGTTTTGCAGACATAGCTCGGTTTTTCCTGTTTAATAGACTAAGTTTTAAAGATTCGTTGTTGCTTGCATCAATAGTTGGTTTATTTGGACCTCCTTCACTATGAGCATACCGATATGTGGATGTTGGAACACCATCGAATGAAGTTTTTGGACGTTTAATAATTATCTGTGGTACAGGAACTGGTATGGGAACAGGAATCTGATTTCCATTTGATTTACCGGAATATTTAAAGTCAACTCTGTATGTTGAACATAAAGGTCGAGATCTCTCTGTAAATTCTCTCTCTGGCATCCATGTGATGAAATCTTGTTTGAAGTTATAAGTTTCATTGGGAACTCTCTTTCTGCCAAGACCCTGTAACAAAGGCATATAATATTGTTAAACAAATAATCAATATAAATGTTTTGCCCTTATGTTTGGCTTGCCTTCAATATTGATATTTATTAAATAAAATATATATATACGTCATACTCCTTTACAGTATTTTGTGCTTTCATATTTTACATGGCAAAATTATATCATTTTATATAAAAGATTGAAATATACCATTACATATAGGTATTATAAATTAAGAATTCTAAATCAGTTTTGTATGCAACAATTCTGTCTATAGATCCAGACTGACAACTGCTATGAGGAGCACCTCTGACCTTAATACAATGACTATAACCTTAAGAAATTTTCATGAATACTCAAAAATGGTGCGAAATTATATCTTATATGATCTTAATCAAACCTGTATTTTTTGCAGATAAAGAAGAAACAGTGTGATTCATATACTCTGAAGAGAATTGATTCTTTTTTATCTAAACCTGCAGGTTCCAACTACTGCAATATCATATACAAAGTTGTGACACAAACATTTAATGAGATAAACATCAAATATCCCATGCATGTGACAAACATAATAAGCAGTATTTAAATAATACAATACAAGAAATACCAGATGATATTCATACCCAATCATCTGTATAGGTTAGACATGTATTTATCAAAACTTCTTATTTACAATCAAATGTTTTGTGTTTATCACAAATAAACGATGTTAGTTTACAAACAATTTCTTAACATGAATGTGTAGATCTTGCTGCTATGGAGTGTTCACCATTTGCTCCTTTTAAACCTTTTCATAAATTAAATTAAAGTTTTAAATTTAATCAATGTAAATCAGTAATAACCCTCAAGACCATATAAACTCCCAACACCAAATGTAAATACATAAAAAAGCAATTTAAACTATTTTAAACCTATCATATTAAGTCTACTCAACCTTTCAGTTCTAAACTATACCCACCCTGAGAAAGCTATAATCATTTCTTATGTGAGGTTTGTTTATACAATAACAATAATATCAAATTGTTCTGATAATGACTTTTAAAATAAAATATAATGGTACTCAATTTGAAATTTCTCTGACATAATATAAAATTGTGACTTTTACCATATTCAATAGATCAGGAAGACATTATTAAACAAACCTAATTCTAATGCTTCAGCTGGTAGTAATTTAATGTTCATATATGTTAAAATCATTCAAAACACTCAGGTTTTGTACTGCAAGGTTAGGATGGCCTTAGCCAAGTTTTGGCACAACTTATTTAAATTTTTGATTTTCAATGTTCAGACTGAAGTTCATGATAGATTTTGCCATCCAACTGATTGGATTTGAACCCCACAAATGAGTCTGATGGTGATGAAACATGCATTGTATACTAAATTATAAGCCTTATGGTATCTTTAGTGACTTGTTAACAATATACATATATTATAGCAACAGACTTAACTACCTTATTTACATATAGGATGAGTTGCATAAAAAAGGTGTTGAAGATGGTCTGTGCTAGCATATTTAATTACATACCATTATACTAAGTGAACCATGAAAATTTTCAAATTATTCAGAGAATTTAAAAATTTCATGCATTTTTTCACAACAAATCAGTCATATTGGAAAGCAGTTCACTTCCCAAATGTGTTAATATCTGTGTAAAGTTGAACTTAAACATGTGAATTTCTGTGAAAATATGGTCAATAACAAATTTTTCTGACATATAAAACCATAAAAATAAACATAATTTGGAAGAAATTCCATCTAATCCAACTAAAAGTCATAGGGAAACTGGATTGACTTACTGTGAAACCATATAGAGCTGCATTATATTGCTGTAAAATTATTGACGATTTATAATACATATATAAGTTCTGAACTGTTATACATATACTGTAAACCAACCTATTTTCCAGAGCAATTTGTTAAAAAGACTTTTGGCACTTTTGCCAAACAGGAAAATAATAACAAAATAAATCATTGTGAATGTGTTAAATGTGGACATTCTCTGTCATGAATTCATCAACAAAGTTTTAAAATCCTGAAAATAAATCACCAAAAAGTAAACAGAAAGAAGTATCAGGAGGGAAAATTGGCTTACAGTATTTTCTCCCTCCCCCTATTTCATAGGAAACTTTTAAACATGGTTATAAAACAATGCTTTTAACTTTGGATTTTTGTAATCTGTTCTAATAACTAAATGCAAATTAAACTTTAAAAGTTTCAAGAAATGTCTGAGGCTAATAGAATATAAAATTTGCAATAAACACTTGTAACGGAAAATTGTAATTTGTAATATGTTGGATATCAAAATTACCAAAAGGAAATCTATGAAGACTGGTTCCCCCCAAGAAGCCTGAATGATAAAACAGTAAGATACAACGTAGGTGATGTAATTAATATTTTACTAATTACATCACCTACATTGTTTCTTTCTAGCATGCATCTTTAACTTAAACCCTAGTATTGATTTGAACAGCTTTTTTAACTGCTCTTAACATACCAAAGATGCCAATGAAACTCTACTGAACTTGTACATTAATCAAAATATTTCCATACATGTGTTAAAATCTTTTTGATTAAATGAAAAACATGAAAACTTATACCTTGAATAAACAATTACAAGTGATAAAGTAGCACAATGTACATGTTTTATAACTGGATATATTTTATCAACATTTCAGCTGTAAATACTGAAGTGCTATTGAATATAGTTACCAAATGTCTGTTTAAAGTCAACTTTATTAATTTCACAAATCACAGAGATTTCAAAGTTATAAAACAGGAGGGTTAAACAGTCGGCAATTCTTTAAGTTACACTCAGCATTTATTCAAAATTATGCGAGTCAATTATATTCTTCTATACAGAGGTTGATGTTTTTGTTATATTTGTACATGTACTGCAGATTTATATCTGTGCATGACAAACAAAAAACTTTATTGTATTGAATAAGAAATCAAAATCTATAAAAAAAAAAGGGTATTTTGTACCAATTTCTATCAAACAGCATTCAAATTAAGACCTCTTCAATGATCTTGAAGTAGTGTGCTTATATCTTGAGTGTAGGAGGCCCACCACCTAGAAAAAAAGACCTTTAAATTAGCATTTACAGCTTTTTGACCAAGGAAAGATCATAGTAAATGTATTTACAAGTCATTTATTCACATTCAGAATAATGTGAAATGTCTTCTTGTGGACTGTTAACATGTAACTTGTAAGATAGTGCATTCAAAAAATCTATTTGAAACTAGGGTATAGTCCTATGACTGAGGGTGTCAGTCTAGTCAAACCATGGTATAATCATATGACTCAATGTGTCACTCTATTCAAACCATGGTATATTCATATGACTCAGTGTGTCAGTCTATTCAAACCACTGACAAACTAAGTGTTTATTTAAACCAGGGTCTATTCATATGACTCAGTATGTCAGTCTAGTCAAACCAGGGACTATGCATATGACTAAGAATGTCAGTTTAGTCAAACCAGGTTTATTCATATGACTGAGTGTGTCAGTCTTATCAAACCAGGGTATATTCATATGACACACACACACAGTGTGTCAATGTAGTCTAACCAGGGTCTGTTCATATGACTCAGTGTGTCCATCTAGTCAAAACAGGGTATATCCATATCACTCAGTATGTCTGTTTAGTCAAACCATGGAACATTCATAATCATATGACTGAGTGTGTCAGTCAAGTCAAACCAGGGTATATTTAAAAGATAACAAGTAATGGTCCTGAATTTGCATGAACTATTTGCTGATAGAATAAATTACTTGAATCTTAATTATGTCTTTTTTCATTGATTACACCAGAAAAATTACAAACGTTATATGAATAAATCTATTAGGTCATTATTTTTTTATCTTTTTATTTTAATTTTCATCAATTTTAGGAAAAAAAGTTCTCTATGATCATTAACCTAAAGAAAAATGATTTCAGAATTCAGTGAAAAATTGCATGATGGGACTATCATTGTTTCAAATGTCTGTTTATTTCTACCAAAGACTTAAGTTAAACTCATATTTACCTGTTCAAAATATAATGCACTGTCTAAAAATGATTCCCTGTTATCATGATGAGAAAACACATGTTTGGCTGTTGGTTGCTGAAATAATAAAAACAACAGTTAGAGAGAAGAATTTGAAAGGCAATCACTGGTCATGAATATTATTCTATCTTTGGCTAAAAGTTAGTACAGAACTCATATGACAATCACAAACCATAATGATCCTTCTGATAAATAAATAGATGAATGTTTTGATTTTTTTTTTACCTTACATCTGTATTACCATTTAAGCTATTTGGATCATATGTGACATAAAATATTTGGTTCTCAATTTTTTTTCGTTTAAACCAGCTACCACAATATTTGTTAATTTGGTGAAGAACATGATTTTGTCAATTGGTCCCAAAACAATCAAAGAAAATAAAAAAAACAGTAGTGGCGCAATGTAATTTGGCATCAAAATTTCTGTAACAATCCAGTAACTGGTGTTAAAGGAGCCGCAGATATAAGTTTTTGATGAATTAACTAAGTATGGATCAATAAATGAATGCATAAATTAACAGATAAATGACTCTTCCATGCATCCTTAAACAAAGTTGTACAGACATGTTCGTATATGCTTCTATAGCTGTAGGCCAGACACTATATGAAAAAAGACTTCATTATATAACAAATCATATGCATTGAATCATAAACTGAAGGAGGCTGCCATGCTCTAAAAAATATATCCTTCCATTAAATTACATGATCTTAACTCCAACCTAAAATTAATCTTAATATATGCACAAATCATAGAACCATAAAATGTAGGTCAGAGTGACCTACATTGTAAGGTGGTTTTTACTTTTCCACAGATGTGGTCCTACACCATGTGTTAATATTGACAGTAACAAAGTATCTGAGATCTGAACTTTGATGTAAAACGTGATACATATATATATATATGTCAGAGTGACCTTTTTAAACAAAATTTACTTTTTAAATTTCTTTGAAGTTCAGGAAAAGTTTTGTTGAGATTGCTTGAACAAATTTAAATTTGATCTGACAGTTTGAGAAATCTACAACCATCATTCAAAATTTCAACCAATAGAAGCAAATTAAATTCACCCATAAAAAACAATCATAGTCGGATCCAGGGGGTCCTGGATGGCCCAGCCCCCCCCCCCCCCTTTTTGTGGGAAAAATTTGGTTGATTATATAGAAAATCACTGAAGCATGACTGTAGTGGGCCCACCTTATAAAAAGTTCTGGATCCGCCACTGACAATTTAAGATAATACTATAACAGATCAAATGGTATTGCATCAAACATTACTTAAGTTCTGATAAGTCTGGTTGTCTTCTGTTGGTGCTTTAATTTGGTGAGCGTTGAATAAGAATTTTGTAATGGGCCGAATCAATTGGCAATATGAAAAAAGCATGTCTTTATGAATATTGAAATGTGAACCTAAAGATCATTGATTTTTTTAGAAAAATTTTCAATAATGGTTTAATAACTGTTGGTTTTGATTTATTCCTGCATTTAATGCAAGCAGTGCCAATTAACAGATTAACTGAAACACATGAGGAACAATGCAAAAATGGATCCAATGGATTCATTTATTTTCGTGGATTAAGGAAAATGGTATTTTCATGGATATCTGATTTCGTGGTTTTACAAAAGTCTGCATACAAGCCTATAGTAAATCTTACTTTGTAGATCATTTAAATTCTTAGTTCACCTATACCCATGAAATCCACAAAAATTGGTATCCCATGAATAAGAATGAATCCACAGTATGTAAATTTGTAAGTCATGGATCAATTACATAGAGGTAGAGTCTAGAGAACAAAACATTTTAACCATAAATGAGTACAAATTGTATATCTTTATAGTTTCATTGATTTATCAATCTCTCTATTTTATTTTTGCATGTAAGAAGTGGTATGCCATATGAATTGTGATAAATTTTATTGGAACTTAAAGATCATTGATCTTTTATAATTATTCAGTAATGGTTAAAGTGTGGTTTAATAGCTGTAGGTTTCAATATAAAGTCATGAATTTTATGTAAGGAACACCAATTAACAGATCAACTGAAACATTTATGGTACAATGAAAAAGTGAGTATGTAAATTTGAAAGACATGGATCAATTATCATGATTATGTTTACGTAGATAACAATATATTTTAACTATAAATGAGTATTAGATTGTATATCATTATAGTTTCATTGATTAATCCAACTTTCAAGTACCAAAACCATTATAATTAAATGGCACATTGTGTTATGCATTCTAATATAAATAAAAGAAGATGTAGGATGTATATTCCAGTTTTTCAATGTTCAATATTTATTTTTGGCTGTCCAATCACCCTTGATATTAACAATTCTGCAAGACAGGAAATTTAGAATTAGCTAGGTTTTACACCACTAATTTTCAATGAAAGTTAACCATGGATAAACTGATAAAATCTATTTTGGATAAGAACTATCAATGAAAATATTAGCAGATGCCATTTAGGCATAATCCTCTATGCATTGTTGTAGGAAATGTGTGTTTTCGGTAACCAGACACAAACAGTATTTTCCAATTTACCAAGGATTTCTATAGTGAGTCTCACTTTACAAATCCTTGAATATACCAAGAAATTTATATTTCTTAACCAATATATTGTAAAATCTAACATCTAAAAGTAATTTATCTTTATATTTGATGAAATTTTATTAAAACTTCTCTTCCTACACTGCCCTAAGAGAGATATTAATACAATAAAATAACATGCTTAAACTTTCCATTTCAATCACATATATAATTAATTTCTATTGTAAGTCATTTTTTAAAACATATTTAATATATTTTTCAAAAATTTCTTACACAAGATTAATTGAATCCCAAAATTCTCTTTCTATATTTTGTAATTTCATCAAAACAATTTTATTTCATTAAATAATAGAATTATAAAATTTGAAGACTTTGTCAAAAATATATATACATTTGTAAACAAGTGATTTTGGTTCCCTAGAACCACGACTGTAATATATGGTAGACTTTTCCTTAATTTTCGAGAATGAGATTTCACTATATATCATGTAAAATATAGGTCCAAAACTCAGGAAATAAAAAGATTACAATGCAGCAGATATTTTCATTTACATGCAGTAATGTTTATTTACCTCCCCCTTCACCTGGAATTGAATTCATTTATGCAAAAGTCATCTCCCCTGACAAAATCTCAGATTCTTTTTATCCTAGATAAGTCGTTATTGGTAGTATACTTTTCTCAATGTATCTTAACGAATAAGATAAATGTTGAAAATGTATTTCACAGAAAATGATGTAAAACGTACTGAATATTTTCAAATTTTCAAAATATATGGTACCAACTAATTATTAACTCTCAATAACATATATACTTACCTATATGTTTGAACAAGTTATTTAAATGTAGATAATTTAATTACATTCAACATTCAATTTTGCATGTATAACTCCATCTTCCAAAACTACTTGTTTATTTTGGTATAAGTTATAAAACATTGAAATTTCTGATTATTATTTTCCATACCAAATGTACAAGTTTGTTTAGATTAACATCAAAATGATATGCTTTGCTTCATGGTATGATAATTTGATGAAAAAAAATTCTTACTGGAACCAACATCAAGAACACAATAATTTCTGAATATGGTTTAAATACAACTTATGTTCTCCAGCTGAGCCTAGCAATATTCAAGGTAATTTATACACTGTCCAACATTGCCCTTAAAATCTGGGTTATAACGCTAAAGTGCCCTTTCAGACAACTAGCACCCTTCTGCCCTGAGATTCAAGCTGGAACACTGTAATACACTAACTTAGTGTATTAGTTGGTACCAAGTGTCAAAACCATGAAAAGATTGATTGTAAAACAAACTAATTAGTGTATTATCTGTTATTTAATCGTGACAAGGTATTCATTGATCTTTTGACAACAATGGAACACTATATATAGCTAGTACTTTTACAGTAATATAATACTTTTCAAATATCAATCTTTTTATGCAGGAAAATGTATAAAATAAAAAAAAAGAGAACTCAATCTGATATACAGTGTTGTGTTATTCATTTAGAATTGTAATTTGGTCATTCTAGTATTTATACCACTTTATTTTTTTTCAAGTTCTACCTGGGGCAAGGCTTCCAAATTCCCTCTAGTGATTTATGCAAAGTGTGAAAAATGAATATTATTGAAACAGAAAATCAATATTCAAATGTTTATGTTCTTACTTAATCAAGAAATCTTAAATTCTGCATTAGTTAAATCTCCAACAATCTGTTATAAAGATATATAGTATGTGAAAAAGTAATGCCATGTAATGCACGGTAATGCATGAAATTACACAACTTTTTGCTAAAGTAATGCATTATATTACAATTACATGTAATGCAACAATTGCTGCATTACACATTACATGCAATTACTTGGAAAAATGTAATGCATTACCATGCACTACAATTACAAATTTGCATAACCCCATGCCTGACACCAAGCAACAAATCAAAGACAGCATTATGCAACAATGATTATATTTGATTGTATAGTCAGTTTTACTGAGTCTAGATACCTGAAGTTAGTTTGAACCAATTAAAAGCAATAGTGTTTGAGATATTAATTCTTAAGCTACCAAGGCTGTCTTTTAAAATATGAATACCAGCTAGCAAAGTGGCTTAACTATAGTTCAGGTATAAAAAACCTGACTGCATTGGTTTCGACAAAAATTATGTGGTCAAGGTCAGATGACACCTGCAAGTTGGACATGTTCACCTTACAATCATTCCATACACCAAATAAAGTAGACCTATTGGTTATAGTATCTGAGATATGGACTTGACCACGAAAACTTAACCTTGTTCACTGATCCATGAAATGAGGTCGAGGTCAAGTGAAAACTGTCTGACAGACATGAGGACCTTGCAAAGTACGCACAACCCAAATATAGTTATCCTATTACTCATAATAAGAGAGAAATTAACATTACAAAAAATCTTAACTTTTTTTCAAGTAGTCACTGAATCATGAAAATGAGGTCAAGGACGATGGACATAAGACAGACAGAAACTTCATATCATGAGGCATCTATAAATAAAGTATGAAGTATCAGGACTTCTACCTTCTGAAATATTAAGCTTTTAAAAAGTTAGTTAACGCCACTGTTGCCTCTGCCGGATCAGAAAGTCGCAGGCTCGACAAAAATTATCTGTTTGGTATGTAAAAACTTAACGCAAATGTTTTAAGACTAAAAAAATCAAAGATCAAAAAGTAAATCTTTCATGGAATGTTGTAGTGATCAATATGAAAATCAATAGAAGGATAATCTAAAGTGGTAAGGCTGGTTTTCTGTCTGTTTTACAAGAGTCGACAAGATAACTTCAAACAAGGATTTATTTATATAATTCCACTTGAATGCTTCACATTATATCAAATTGTAAACCATTTATGATTGTCATTTAAACAAGACAACTGAATTTATCCCAAATGACTACATAATCTACTTATTAAACCCATTCAGTATCGTCTTCTTTACAGCCATGGTCATACAATGTAACATTATCAATTGTATTACATAAAACAGTAAAAAGAAGGTCAATAAAAAATAAAAATTTAAAATTCATGCATCACTAAAGTGAAATAAAGTACATTATAACAGGAATAGCTGAATGCATATTGACTTAATATTTTGCTTTTTTTTAAGTAAGAAATGTATCAGAAGAATATACAATATGGATGTTTACATGTGCTGTAAACTGTATTATCTAAATGTTATATTCTCTGAGGAAAAAATAAATTATGATTTAGCTGTTTGAAGGTTCTGGTGCTTCATTAACATATAATTTATGATGTGGATAACTGAAAAAAAAACCAGCAGATGTGTGTTTCCTTTATCAATGATTTCAGTCTTCAACTCAAATGTAATACAAAAATCAGTATAAAACATGGGTCCTGTAATTACAATTTTTCCAGTTTTGTACAATATGCTTAAATAATTCAATATCAGAATACATGTAGCTGAAATCAAAAATGGTGGATTTGTCTCGCATGTCACAGTGACCTTACAGTGTATATTATCTAGAATTATATGCTGACTAACACCAAAGTTGTCTCCAAAAACTAGTTTATATGATCCTATTATATAAAATGACTATGATATGAACTTAGAAGTAAAACCTAACCAAGGGCAATAAACAATGAAATTATGTAACTTTTAGAGTCAAATAATCTCAGTGTAGTAAAAAGTAAGACTAACTTAAATGCACTTTATACAAAATTTGATGGTTTTATGCCATGCAATTATTGCAATATGACTACATGATATTTAATGTATGCATACACTGACTCTGTGTACCACAATGTACCAATAGTATGAGTATTGAAAAATATGCACTTGTACTAAACTAAAGGAGCACTGTAATAATTATTTTGGTAGATAAATTGCAATAAAGAAAATAATAGGAAAATGGTGCGGTTTTTCATGGAAAATATATTTCATTCAACAAATTGTCTGTCCAAAAAATGAAATGAAAAGGTATCACTTTCTTTAAAACTGGTATGGCCTGTTAAATAGTGAAGTTCAATTCAGGAAGAAGAAAAAACGTCCATCCCATGCCAGTATTTTGGCCTCAATTATTTCCAGACTTTATGTGCAATAAATCCCTGTGAGGGCTAAGTTAAACAGAAAACGTCTTCAGATAACTGCAAAAATTCTCTCAATATCATAATCTGTCTATTTAAATAAAATGTCAGTATGTAAATACTCCACTTTTATCACCTACTGTAAATATAAAAATATACCATACTTTGAGGTACTTGTCAATATGTTATTGTATTAGTAGATAACTGTGTGCTTAATATCTCTGAAGAGAAGGTAATATTTACTCAAATAAAATATTTAAATAATTGTGATCATTTAAATGTTTTATTATTCTGTAACTATTTGATTAGTTTTACACATCATTTTTGATCAGAGAAATTGTGGTGTTTGTGTGATTTATATACAGTTTTGTACAGTAATTAATAGAATGTATTCATTTAGAATTTGTTTACTTTCCTAAAAGATTGACTAACAAGAGACAAGTAAATGTTATACATATATAAGTGTTTTTTTTATTTTATTTCATAGGGTAATATAATATAAAAATAAAAAGATGTGGTATAATTGTCAATGAGACAACCATATACACAAGAGACCAAATGACCTCAATACTAGCAACTATACATGTAGGTCACTGATTTTTTTTCCACAAAAAATACATTTGTTTGTTTGTTGGTGTTTAACACCACTTTAAGCACTCTTTGCTCAATCATGACCAGAGTCTAACACAACTTGACAAGCACTCTTTGCTCAATCATGACCGGAGTCTAACACAACTTGACAAGCACTCTTTGTTCAATCATGATCAGAGTCTAACAAAACTTGACAAGCACTCTTTGCTCAATCATGACCAGAGTCTAACACAACTTAACAAGCACTCTTTGCTAAATCATGACCAGAGTCTAACACAACTTGACAAGCACTCTTTGCTCAATCATGACCAGAGTCTAACACAACTTGACAAGCACTCTTTGCTAAATCATGACCAGAGTCTAACACAGCTTGACAAGCACTCTTTGCTAAATCATGACCAGAGTCTAACACAACTTGACAAGCCCTCTTTGCTAAATCATGACCAGAGTCTAACACAACTTGACAAGCACTTTTTGCTGAATCATGATCAGAGTCTAACACAACTTGACAAGCACTCTTTGCTGAATCATGACCCGAGTCTAACACAACTTGACATCAGAGTTGACATGTTAGTGATCACTGAAGATTATCTTCTTAGATCACTCAGCCATTGAGGCCCACAAAAATAAATTAGTGTTACTAATATTTAATTGTGATATAAATCGTACAAAAACATACACATATACAAATAAAATAGTAACAATGACATAAGATAAGTGAATTATCATTTGACAAATTCCTCGTCAATAAGTTACTTATATTTCAGTAAAATTCAGTTACACTTATAAATACTATGGTAACAAAAAAAAAAACAAAAAAAAACAATTTTGTCACAAATTCATTATTTTCATCATCTGTAAGAAAATGGTAATGAAATGATTTATTCCATCAAAATTCAAATCAAAGTATCTTCCATGTATATCAGTATTAAGGAACCTCATAAATATAGATAAACATGATAAATGAAGATAATACATGTACATTGTACTACGTTTTAAAATTCTAAATAATTGAAACTTTTCATTTTAGTTTTGCAAAGCCTATCACCCAAATCAATTGAATGCTTATACAACTTTTTTAATTTACTATGTCTGGTTTAGTTTTCATACACTTACCCTGGCTCTATTAAGAAATCTTTTTGGAGGCACTGGTTTTGCTATTTGTCTGTATTCACACACAAAGTCATTGCGAGATTTACTTCGAAAATGGCCATAATATCCAGATGAAAACTGAAAAGAAATGCAAAATTTGACAACCAAGCATTTCTAGTGTATATGTACATACATTTTTTTCTTCTGTTCAACTAAAGTATTTAAGTAGATATGTCATAAGATACATTCTTCCATGAATTCTGGAAAACGTGTCAGCTTAAACAGTTTTTTCAAACAGTATAATTAGTGCAATTTAAATCCTTGGCAAAGGAAATCCAGAAAGAAACTTTATCTATCACAGTCAAAAAAGTGTATGCAAAACCTAGAGTCTACTCTAAAAACATTTCAAGTCAGGTTAGTTCTGTTGTACATCTTTCAATTTTATGAAATAAAAGAAACAATTTGCAATGAATAAGAAAATTTATATCAACGCTAGAGGTTGACATGTTTTAATTCTCATGATTCTGTTACTAAATAATACTTTGTTGAAGACTTGGAGAAAATAACAAAAGCTCCAGGGAGCCTATATATCACTCACCTGGATTCTATACATACTATTGATTTATTTTCCTGTAAGAAGTTATATACTTTACTAGCAATTAAAATTGTTCAATTAGAACCAAAGAATGCCACATTTTCCCTTTCATTGGAATCACACGAAGATCCCTTGTAGAAAACTATCCTTACATCATTCCTAAGACCCAAAAAAATAATACCTGTGTTTACACGAACATTCTGAAAAAATAAGGGTAGGTAGGCTTAATAAAAACAATGTGCCACCAATGCCACCTGTTCAACCATCAACTAGGATGGTTGTAAACTGTCTCCTATTCATCAAATCTGTTGTTGCAGAGAAAAACATTAATTGGCTTATCAAAATCAAAGATTGCAGCTGGGTTTTTTCCAGGCAATCAGATCATAACCAAATGAGTATTCTGTGTAAAGGACCTTCATTACATCATTCCTGCAAAGTTTGATTAAAATTGCACGAGTGGTTTCAGAAAAGAAGATGAAAAAGTGAAGTCTATGAACGAATCAGGACGATGGACAAAAACTGATGACAATGCATGAAGTTACATTGTCTTTTAGGTTTAAATTTAAAAAACACCACTATTAAAATATTTCCCACAACGATCCTTCAAAAAATTCTTTGGAAAATACCCTTAATTTTGCAAGAACTCACCAGTTTTGAAAATAATGAGTCCAAATCTTGCCTTAGTGAGAAACTTGGAGGAAGCCAAGTTACCCTTCAGGAGAGAACTACGACCTTTGGCAGGAAAACTAGTCAACAAAGATAGCAGTGGAACTCGCCTGCCACTCATCTTATTAAAACATTGTGGTCAGACTTGGAATTTAGGGTTTGTCTGGAATCTCTAAACACACTTTATTTTTGGCCTCATTCATTTTTGTTGCAAAAGGATATCAAATTAAGCATATTTTCTGGGGCAACTGTCAGGGTTAACATCAAGTTTTGGTGGGGTTAAACTTTAAGTTGCTTTATTTTTTTGGTTTTCTATTTGATTTTGTGTGGACTGCCATGACTGCTGTTTACACTGTATATCTTATTCTTTTTCTCTTTTTGTCATGGTTGTTTCTCCCTTTCTTCAAAAAATTAGGAAATTCCTTTGCTCCTTTTATATCTTCTTACTTTTAAAAAGAAGGTTTATATATTAATATAAATTGTTCATTTGCATTTTTAAAAGAAAATTTTCTTTATTTATCAAAGTCAGGGTGCAAAACATGTAAGTTCTACCTTTTCAAAAATGTTTATTCTGTTTTCCACTTTAATTGAACGTTTCTTGACATTTTTTGTTTTGAAGTTTAAGAAGTTTTTTCCCAATCAAACTTTTGCAAGGATAAAGTATGCTTTTCGTAGCATTAATCCTGTCCTCTTTTCCTTGAATGTGACATACAGAATTAAGACTTATCACCGTTTGTACTTACATGAGCAACATGGTGGGTGCTTCATGTGGAGCAGGATCTGCTTACCCTTACATAGCACTGGAGATCACCCAAGGTTTTGGTGGGGTTCATGTTGATCAGTCTCAAGTTTTCTATGTTGTGTTTTATGTACATGTACTGTTGTTTGTCTTTTCACTGCTTTTTATTTGGCATGGCATTGTCAGTTATTTTCAAGTTGACAACTGATGAGTTTGAATATCCTTTTGGTTTCTTTCACCTCTCTATCAAATATTGTGTAACTGCAAACTCAAAAAATGTATATAAAGGGAATGACATGTACCAAATGTATGTATTTTTTACGTTTTCATAGTTGAAATGATGCAGGTAATTTTGACTGAAGGTACTGCATTAACCTGTATTTCAGGTTAGCAGTCATTTATCAGTTTTTTTTGTCAGTCAGATACAATGCATGTTTTTTCTAGGTTTTCCACAATACCTGTTGATGTTTTTTGACATTTAGCTATCAGTTGCACAAAAAGAAATTGCTGTCAAGAACAATAACAGTGAAAATATAATTTTCTGAATGTTCAGTGGCAAATATTTCATGCATGTTCAGGACGATCAAGTTATTGAATCCTGGGAATAATACATGATCTACCAACTGGTGCTTTTTCCCAGAGAGAATTTATGTCACCAAGCAAATATCTTCACGTCACAATGTCTAATGATGCACTTCCCACGACTGATACTAGGTCAACCAGGGCAGTTCAACCATAAAATCGAAATTGAACTTTTTAACGAACTTGAACAGTATCTCGGATTTTACTGTATTAACTTTCTTTAAACTCTATGACACATTGACATTTCATGTCAGATAAACTTACCCAGCTGCCAACGACATCAGTTGCAGCAGTCATTGTTACAAATCCCCAGTTACTTATCTATATCCTCTTTAACACATAATGGGACTAAATGACTGAGAATGATTGACAATTGACACGCAAATTAGGTAATTTGAGTTACCATGCAATATGAATGATATGGCTGTGTAAACAAGTGCGTGTCGCTAGCTTGCCGAACATTCAAAGCTCGATTAGCCAATCAAAACGGGTTTTTCTTTTAGCTTTTGGCTTTCTGCGAAATTCTGCATTTCCGGTTATCTTTCGGATTACCTCGGTTATCTTGTTAACATTCGCCGACGACAGTTTTGTCGTCTGCTCCTATGCGGGCTTGAAGAAATTAATTGACAAATTGAAGAAGGGTAAAGTGGGATATGAACGTATTTTTAGAACTAACAATAACTGAGCATATTTATTTTCTTTATAGACTTTAATGACACATAGAATTTGAAAAATTTAAAGATCATGAACAGAAATGGACAAAAAAAGGCTTTGTTTACACCTCAACTTGGCTCAAGACAAAAGTTACTCTGACTAAAGTCGTTAAGACAAACATGTGCAGTTGGAAATTTTTTTAAGGTCTAGCATCTACTAGATATTGAAAAATTAAATGCATTTTATGTTTCAGAAAGATGGAATTTGATGGGCATTTTTTTCTACACTGGTCACTGCTATTAATGATTGTGTAAAATAAAAAGTTATAAAAACGGGAAGCAAGTTAACTCGTACCATTGCAAACTCGTACCACGTCAACTCGTACCACTAAAAGTCAACTCGTATCAACGTTAACTCGTACCACTGCGAAGTCGTACCATTCAGAACTCGTACCATTAAAAATATATTCAATATATTTTCTTGAATTTTATACCAGATTTTAAAACTTAGACAAAAATACATTGTAATTTCTTAATTACCATGTTAATTAATATATTGAATTCCTTTGAGTGTGTGTATTGGGTGATTATTAACTAATCAACTTGTTGAATCATATTATTGAATTTTGATTGTTGTTATGTAATTTAACAGCTTGGAATTAAATGTATAATGTGTATTATTAAATGAAATTCCTGATTATCAAAACAAAAGCTGACATGAGTCGTCTCAAAGCCCCATTTCCACATAAAATGGGGCATGTTTGTGATGTTCCTCATAACCACAATGGAAGACGACAATTGTATAAATATATTGTCTCATTAAATAAAATTCCTTTTAGAAACAATTTTGACTACCAAAATATATTCAATGTTACTAATGTGTAATGATTAAAAATTAAATCAAATAGCTGCCAGTAAAAGTTAAATAAAGGAACTGTTCAAGGGAGAGAACAAAGCCAATCTGCCACAGTTTTCTCTGTCCAATTAGCCAAGGAAAAATAAGCTACACATTGGTCTGTGATTTCAAATTATATACTTTTTACAGACTTAAGAGGTATTGAGTGAAATTTAAATATTTATTCATCATTAAACACCATTTGAATGCATTTAAATAAGTTGGTACGAGTTTACAATGGTATGAATTTACCGTGGTACGAGTTATCAGTGGTACGAGTTTGCATTGGTACGAGTTTGTTTTTAGTGGTACGAGTTCACATCAGTACGAGTTTGCAATGGTACGAGATAACTATATTTCTAAAAACACTTGAATTATATTTGATGCTGTCCACTCAGTTACACCCTTTAATCTGAATCACCAATTGTTTTGTAGATATCTATTGTCCTTCTGTACATGTCATGGTCTTCTAATACATCTTATCAATATTTATTCCTATCTGGATAAGTTCTAGTCCAAATAATTATGACGTCTTGAAAGGCTATTTCCTACGAAGGAAGGCATCACAGAAAAAAAATTAAAATAGCCTTTCAAGACGTCATAATTATTTGGACTAGATAAGTTCTAAAATTGCACAGCTTTTCAAACCAGTTGAAGCTATCTGGGGCCTTGTTCAAACAATGTATTGTGCATAAAATTTTCCTAGTCATAGAGACATGTTTAAACCATTGTAAACACAATAAACAAAGCATTTTCAATGACTTTAATTTGTCTTTTTAAAAATGCTTTAAACTATCAAAATTTTAAACTGTCCTTTTTCCAAACTTTTTCCTCCCTCAGTTCATTGCTGATGACCTTTGTTTTGCTTCACTTTACCTCAACAGGAAGTTGTCTAAGTAACTGTTTTTCCCGGGTTGGACTAAATAGTGATGTGTATTGGTACTTTTTCCTGGAAAAATTTGATGTCACAAAGGAAATAATTGAATTATCAATATGTCATATAAATGTCAGGCATTGCAGGGGGTTTCACAATATATATATGGAAGTTTTTAACGACCTTGACTGGCTATACAGTTTCACAACATTATCCTTATGATCAGAATTATTACAATAACACGCCTGCATTTGCAGGGGAATATGATTTTTCTTTTGAATGGAAATTTATTATAGTACTCACCTGGCACAGCAGGGGGTATCACAAAATTATTGCCCATTTTAGCAGATTCACGATGTAGCACTGAACTTGAACATCTTTCATGATGTGGACAATCCTTCAATGGATGTTGAAGACGAGCCTCTGGAGTCTTTGCAGTTTACAAACACACTTCCTGCCAGCATGCAATAGTTTTTTTGTCGTCATAAGCTCAAAATGATCCCCTGGACAACTACAGTTTCCCGCTTGATAAGCACCACATATTGGATTGCGATTAAACCTATCCTTGAGTACTTCCTTGGTTAGTTTAGATGAAGAAGATGTAAGGGGGATGACAAGAGTTCGGCCTTGATCTTCTAAAAATGCTTGAGGCCAAATTTTATGACCCCTTTCTACTGAATGCAAAATTAAACATGAAAAACCTTTATCTCAGTATTAAAGGGATATTTTTCGGCGAAATATAGCTGATAAATCAAATGCTTTTGTCTGAGCATTGAAATAGCTTGTTTTTCCAAGTTATGCATGATAAACATTTCACCTCTTAACTAGCTGTGTGAGTCCGAAGTCTTTATCAGAAAAAAATCACTGATTAGGTTTGGGCATGCTCATGTAGCAATGGCACATCATATTTTACCCTACCTTAGCGGCCCTTGCTTCACCAAAAACTGCCTTATATTTTTGGTCTATGAACAATAAATATTGTAAATCATTACCTTTAATTTTCCTTGGTCCTTATCCTCGACATTGTCACTTGAAGAAGTAGAATCAGAATCTGAAAGAAGATGAAGATTGATTTAGAAGCTGCTGAGTAAGCTCTTGAGTCTGTTTGCTGACTTTATCCGTATCCTGTAACTCATTAAGTGTTGGTAGCTTTACTGTTTTAACTTTAATTTTACCATTGTCCTTAGCTTTGGTTCTTGAAGTGTTTCTATCAACAACAAATGTTTTCTTGCCTACAAGGAGCGTGTGTTGTTAATTCCTCAATTGTTTTGTCCAGTTTATTCACAATGTTCATAGATGTAGGAATTTTTGGACGAATGCTAGCACCTTGCTTCATTTGATTTTGGTGTAGAAGTCTGAAGTTAAACCACGTTTTCAGAGCTAATATCTCCAACTTTGTGAACTAAAGCAAACTATTTTTGCATTTCAAAAGAAGATAGAATGAAATCCCTTAAATAAGCTGGAGGCTTCCTAGTTCCTTTATTTTCCATCGGATGTCAAAATATCAAATTAGGTACGTAATAAAATGTGGCTGGAACATGCTTTCTTGCTTAAAACCACATGTTAACTAAAACCTGTATGAAGTAACAAGGGAGGCAAATCTAATACAAGTCATCAATTGAATACAATAAGAGTTACCTCTCATTGTATGCTATGATCTGTTTTCCCCCAGATAACCCATGTCAATTAGGGCAGTTCATTCATATTCACATTCCCCATTTCCATTCTCAATTTTATAAAATCAAATTAAATATTGTGTATTGTCCATGTCAGTCATTATAATACAATATAATTGTTAATATTTTTTTTATTACGGTAGTCATATTTTTCTCATCGGATGAACAAAATTTCCGCCAGATGCACTCTTTAGCAGATTTTCAAAAATAATCTCCAGAAACGAGGAATTTAAGGGGTAGTTTGTCAGGTTAGCAATACATGCAACTGCAAGTGTAACAGTAAAATACTATCCATGACAATATTTCCTAATCAAAGTATGTCTTCCTTGAAGAATCATACACCATAAAATTGTGAGAGTGTTTCTGAAATATTGTTCTTGAAAAGTATGTGTATAACAGTGAAATGCTGCATCAAATAATTCTCATCTATACTATTCAAGCACGAAGTATGCACATATTTATATTTATGATTTAAAATATTTTGTAAGGCAAGTATTTTATATTAGAAATGTTAGAAACAAACATATTGTATCCAAAGCTACTTCCAAATTTGCATTTATAAATGATTAAAGTCAAATATGTTAATTGTACCATATAATACTGTTGAAATATAACTAAAGAACTGACAATCACTTGTAACATATGTTTATTATTATCAATAAAACAAAACACTTTAATGATATTGTACAAAATATAAATTTTTATAACCTCCCTTTCATGAAACAAAATTACATGACACTCCATCCATGAAATATTATTATACCCAAATTGCAATTTTTGATAACTTCCCATTAATAAGACATAATTTCATTACTATCGATTTATGAAATATTGTTAAATAAGACTAAAATTCATATGAAATTTTGTCCTTCTCTGAACACTTTTTCATAGTAGGGGACAAATAAGCATGATACATAATACATGATCATGAAATACTATATTTATTACATTAGGACAATATTTTGCTTTAGCTTTACACTAGTTTCTAGTTTTGGTCTTCTTGTGTTTTGTGGTGCAGGACTTTTGCTCCAAGAAAGATAACTCAATTTCATCACTGAAAAAAATGGGTCAGATGTTCATACAAACACATTTAAAAAAAATATCAATGTAATTTTGCTTACAGTCAAATTAATAAGTTATTTTATAATTTCAGATGTAAAAATGTCTCGAATGTACTTCAATCAAGTGTCTTCACGAGAACTTTTTAATGTTGGAAGGTTTGTAGAGTTATTTACTGTGAATTATGTGAGTCTTGTATGACAATATCTCAAGAATATTAGTAAATGATGAATAATTGAAGAAACAACAAACAAAATTCAGAGACTAAAGTTTTACTATACCTGTAAAATCCAAACTAAAACTGGTCAAAGTGACTAACATTGATTCTAGTGGTAAATAAAAAGTTACCTTGAAAAGTTTTGGCCTCTTTTGGCCAGGATGCATTCAGTGGACCAAATTTTAAAGTAACAATTTGGATTCCATCCGTCTTAAATTGTTGTATTTTTATGTAAATTTTAAGAAATATTTTTATTTCTTGTAATTGAAAAGAAAAATCATGTATGGAGAGTTTTTATAAATATGCAGCTTTTATTTAAGATAAAAGATTACCAGACAACATAATAAAGAGCCTAAGATATAGTCAATGAGGATATATTTTTGGAGTGTGTATGTGGGGATTTCTTGTTTTCTTTCTCCCGACACTAGGCAAAGGGGGCATTAAGGTTTACCCTTGTCCATTTGTACTTGCGTCCCGAAATTGGTTTCCGTTCTCTAACTTTAGTTTGCCTCAACCAAATGTTATGAAACTTATACACTATGATAATTGCCACCAAACACAGATAAATTTCAAGTTTTGATGGCCACACTTTCACTGTTCTCCAGTTAACTCCTTTATAAATTGATAAATTGCTGCATTTGCTGTCGCTGCATTACAAGTGGGGCATCTGTGTACCATAGACACATTTTTCTTTTATTTTTAATTGTTTTTTTTCTAATCATTTTTACTAGTGTTTAGACGTCTTTTGGCAGCAGTGGAAAATTTTAGATACTGTGGATTCATTTATTTTTGTGGGTATCAATTTTCGTGGATAGAGAAAAAAAGACGTTTCGTGGTATACGTAAATTCGTGGATCGCTGATTACAAAAGAAAAAAAATTCAGATACGTAATTCGTGGATTTCTTTTTAATTTAGGAGATCATATAACCTCCATGGTTTTATCAATAATAAAACAAACAAAAAAGAAGGAATTCATTGAAAAGGTTTTGAATTGTCAAAATCCTCGCTTGGTCATTCTAGGTTAAAGTGTTCATTGAAAACTTCTATTACAATAATGGACAGAGACAACTAATTACTTGTTTGTTTTACAATTTATAAATTTTGTTCGGAATTTTATAAGGCATTCAAAACTCTATGATTGAAAGCTCATTTCCCTAATCATGATATAATAAACAGTCATATAAGTAAAAGGTGTGAAAATAAATGTTCCTGTCATAAACAATATTACCTACGGGCAATATCCACGTACTTAATCCCATTGATTTTTAATCACCAGTATAACACGGTCATTAACAACTTGCAGTTATTTTCCATGAACAGTTTTATTCAATTTTAAAAAGTAAATTATCACTGATATTCGATATATTAATTATTGATTTAATCAAAATACTTGTATCTTCTTTCAATAAAAACACGTGTTATGTTACAATGTTTATCGCTAGTCAACACTATACTAGAACTGCATAACATAACCGGAAATAAACACCCGACTCCATACACATTTCTTGGGATTATTCTTCGTTGAATTCTTAAATTCATGGTTCGCTGTGACCCACGAAACCCACGAAAATTGGTATACCACGAATAAAAATGAATCCACAGTACTAGACAGGAAAACAGTTGTATATTCTAGATGGTTGCATTGTGATTCAGTTACACTTGTTCCATTTATAACTGTTGGCAAGGAGAGTAAAGTTAATTGAAATTAAGTGAATAGCTCATTAACCAATAAAATTTCTTAATCCTGTTATTTTCATTATATTTCAGAGAGAAAAGAAACAGTCAAATCAGTGAAAACTCTTCTCAACATTTATATCAAAACTCACAGATAGAATTTTCAGAGAATTCCCAAGATGCAACATATTCCCAGCCTCTTTCAGGAGAAAGCGGATCACAGGTAACATAATATAAAAGAAAGGAAAGCCTGCAATAGTAGGAAATTAATTTCTTTTAAAAAATTTAAAAGTTTTGACACCATTCATGTTGCAGAGACAAGATAAGGTCTTTTGAATTTTGAATACAATTAGGGACCCACCGCTAGGATGATGGAGACCTAGGCCAAAAATAAAAATAAAATTGTTTGGTGTTGCCTTCCTACCCACCTAAAAAGCAGTCTACCTGAAAAATGTTATGACAAATCGTTTCAATTTTTTTTTTAAAGTTCTAATGTCGTTTTCTTGTCTAAATAAGTAACTTATGTTGTTGGCTAAAAAAAAAAAAAAAAATCCCTACCTACCTACTCAACCCTACAAGGCATTGGTAGGCAACATCAAACAAATAATTTGTTAAGGGTGGGCCGTTTTCACTTTGTCCATCATCTGGCTGTTGGTCTATTAATCAACAATTTTTGTGAAACCAAAAGTAAGGCAAGAATGTGGATGAAAATTTGCACAGTTGTGCATCATATGTCGATTTGCTAATTAGTTTTGATGAAAGCGAGATATTTAATAGTAGAAAAAACACATATTTTATATTATTATTTTGTCAGCCACTATTTAAAAAAATGGCCACCAAAATACATAAACATTCAAAATGCTCTGAAATCAACAAAATCTAGGTATAATATGAATAAATAATTAATTTCTGATATTTCAAAGTAGTTGCTGGTTGTCATTGTCAAACTGGCATGGTTTTAAGATTAATTCAGTAGAACTCGAGGGAAATATGTATTTTTTTAGACACTAAATCGCATGTTTTACTTGTACCAAATGTTCCATGAAAATTTATACCCGCAGGAACATCTTTGGCTTTTTATTAATTATTTGTTTCTGTGCCTGTCACATAAATATACAAGCAGAGCCCTTGCTTGCATGTCAGTTTTCTAGTTTACTTTTGTAATTTCCTAGTACCTTTTATGAGCATAGTCATACCCCCACTAAAGGATTGAATGGTATATCGCAAGACCCTTGTCTGTGCATCTGTCTGTCCATCAATCCCTTCATCTACCAGTATTTTGTGTGCATATTACTCAGCTTCTGTATGAAAGGATGATTTTTTATTTTAGTTGGATCCTTATGATGAATTGTACTTTGTAAGCAATTCTCAGATTTGCTATGCATTCATTTTATATGGACAACTATATAGATAATGTGGCAGTGCCAAACATGTTAGTAAACAGTCAACCCTCACATTTCCAGCATCAGACCTACCAGACCCCGCACAAAGGAAAAAATACACATGATACGGATCTAAGAGTACTCACAGTTACTGAAAGCTAGTTTAAAGCCAACTACAACTTATAAATAATTTATGTTTTTCCATGCTAAAATATCAACCAATATACATTAATAACGGGGTATACCCATTGAGCATGTTACAAAAATTACTGACTTGAGCATACAAGTCTTTGATCTTACTGCTTAATACTGTGAGCTTAGAGGAGAAGAAGAAAATACCAATTTTTAAGTGTTTTGTTTGACCTGGCCAGGGGTCAAACCCAGGACCTCCAACAGTTGAGATGATCACGCTAATACTAAGACGACTGAGCAATATATCAATCTGTGGGTGTGTGTTCTAAATCAAGTATGGCCATGTACAATTAACTATCATTAAACAAATTTTTCCTAATTTCCATATTTATGAATACAATTACAATTATTTCCTTGTTTTTTTATTTTATTTCTATCTAGTCACAAGGAAGAAGAGTATTTGACAGATTTATGACAAAAAGAACAAATTCTGAGACATCTTTCAAATCTACGCCTGCAAAGCCATCTAGTGGATACAATCCTGCAGTGTCACTACCAGTGAAGCAACAGATAAGATCAAACTTCCAGCAGCAAGTACTGATGAATAAAACAAAGGCTAAAGAAAGAGATGATAGGTTAACCAGTATTCAAATACAAGAGTTTTAATTTAAGCTGTTATTGAATAGCTAGTATGCTTTGATAAAATTTTACTACAAAATTTTAATTGTTGTTGGAATTGGTAAATGTAGGGTTGCTTTTGATTATGAAAATTTTCATAATTTTCTTGTTGTAGTTCCAGAGTGATCAGACTTTTTAACAGTCAAATTTAAGGCAATATTCACACACCGAAGAATATCCTTGTGCAAGTTTTTCTACAGAGCCCTTTTACTTTCTTTTGATAAGATGACATCTAAATATTCCATTTAATATTGGCAACAATTTCAATATGCACAAGCCAGGCAATTCATGTTCTCCTGTCGCTGCTGCTTATTCATTTTGTATAGCCTCAACTTTAAAAATGACATAGAAATAGAAAGTTCAAAAGTTCAATAAAAATGTAGGCCAAAGAAATCCCTTATCAAACTTTGTCCTTTATTGGTAATATGACCCATGACTGATTGAAAACTAAACGAACCTTAGAAAATGAAGAAAAAAATAAGATGTTAATTTTCCTTATGAATGTAAACTATTTAATAAGAGTTTTTTTTCATATTTGAGAAAGATGAATATTCTGGGTTTTTCCTTTTGAACAAAACATATGGGGTAGGTAAAATAGCCAAGTATATCTTATTTGCTATATGTATAAAACTTTGTGCAACTTATTAAAACTGGTGATATTTCAGAGAAATGTATGAAACAGTAGTTAACACTGTCAAAGAATGTACAGATGAAATGAGAGGAAGCATTAAGGTGTTTCAACAAAACATAGAACAGATGTCTGATGTATCTCATGAGAAGTTTAGTGCTATGACTAACTCGGGTGATTTTTAAGTCTGCCATTATTTTGGAGCTACACAGGTTCTTCACTGTCCAGCTCCACTAAGGGGGAAGATTCTATCCAAATACACATTCTTTTTTGCAATACAGTGAAACTCAATCACAAAAAGTACTATATACATAACTCAACTACACATGGATGTGTTTGACACACACACTATAATCCTGGTCCTTCATGTTAAATGGGAGATAATTCAATTTACTTTCTTCAATCTTGCAATATGTCTCTCGTCTGTGTGCCTCGTTAGCACAACTTATCCAAAATGGTCAGACTGATATTGATGATACTTTACACAGCTGTAGAGAATTACCTGAGTATGTGCATAAACGAATCCTGGTCCTACATATTAAAGGGGAGATAATCAAATTTACTTACTTCAATATTGCAATTTAATTAATTGAAAACTATGTTAGGCAATTAGGTGGCTAATATATTTATAACTTTGTCCCTTTCAAATTTCTATATGATGTGAATTATTAAACAAACAAAAAATACTTTCATATTTCTAATAAAATTTTATCAATTTACCATGGTTTTGTTTTTAATCTTAGTGTTTGATGTTTTGAATGAAAACTTCAAGAAAATGATTAAAACAATGAAAGACAGAGATCAAGACATTAGCAAGATGCTGGATTTGGAAAAAGAAATCATTATGGTAATTAAGATATATAAAATAAAAAGCAATAATGAATATACCAAGTGCTTCACATGACCTTAATGCACAAACTAATACATGTAACTGAATATGGCATTAATTTCCATGTCATCAACAACTTGGAACTTTAAATATTAGTGTTAGAAGATACTTTTGAAAGTCTTGAATAATATTGATTCTTTTTTCTGTTGATCTAGAGAGATGCTAAGATAGAAGAACTTCATAACATGATGGAAAAACAGCAGTCAGAGAAAGAAAACCAGCTTGTTGACAGTTTGAAAAGTGTAATGACCTCACTTCACCAAGAAACTATTGGTGACCTCAAGAAGATTGGTGATTCTGTGATGCACAACACTAACAATCAATACCAGCTTACAGACAGTCACAAACAGCAAAAGGATCTGATGGAAAAACACTACCATGAATATAAAAATATTCAGAGTATGAGACATGAGGATATTAAAAGAGGGTATTTACTTATTTTATATAGCTGATATAAAATTTTAGTAAAACATTTGTGTGGGAAATCCAAAACAAGGTATGAAGCAAGGCTTCCAAAACAGTCATATATTCCGGACATTTGTATAATGTCCGGTAAAAGTCCGGCTGGGCAAAGCATGAAACGATCATCTACTTTTTAGTTTTCAAGGCTTTCTTAAGAGATGGTCATTTTAACATAATTCGCGATCTTTTTGACCCAACCTTTTGCTTTAAACAGCCACACATTTCCGGTCATAAAAGTGACATGATCATTAAGTATTATCAAAACAACCCCTACTTTAATACCTTCTCATTTTAATCAAGGCTAATTACTTGTCAAACAGCTGAAATTTACCTGTTCAGGTGGCGGGTAAACTATTTTGAACCAGACATTGATTGGTCTATTCAAAGTTATTTTCTTACATTTCAGCGGTTTGCATCTTATTACCGGTAATTTAATCAAAAAGATTTAAATTATCAATTTAACAGTTTACGTCAGAACTTCGAATTTGAATCAAAGAAAGTTTAATATCGTTTTTTTTTTAATGTCAATCATTGGGATGGCCAACTCGGCAACTGATTACCATAATTGCCTTTTGTTTATTTTGTCTTAAGGGATTAAAATCAGGATAATATATAAAATGTCCGGCTGGCTAAAAATAATTTTGAAAGCCCTGGTATGAAGTAAGGATAAAACTGAACTGTGTGAACACATTGTTTGGGCTTATTAAAGCAGATTTAAAATTTAATACATCAAATGTGTACTATGAATGTGTGTATAAGATATATATTTGAATACTCTAAATTCAGAAAACATGCTTTTATGAATGTGAAAAATATCGGGTTCACAATAATGATAATTCACATTCAAAATTTCTGCAATGATTTTCCTTCATTAAATTTTTGAAATTGCTTTGATTAGATTTTTGCCTATGGTCAAGGATTTTGCAGTTATAATAAACACATGCATTAATCAATTTCAATTTACAATATGCCCTATAGCCAATGAACAGAAGGTTAACTCCTGTTTTTGGCAATATGAATTGAAACCATAAATAGTGATAAGTGATAAAACATGAAATAACAAAGATGGTGAGACACTAAACTCTTTTTATGGAAAATACATTCATGGTTTGTTTCAGGGCTTTGAGAGGCTTTGCTGATAATAAAGTATTCTGGTTATCCTCTTGCATTTGATCACGCAAAAGACATTATATGGCTGTGGGAAACACAGAAAATCTGTGAAATCAACATATGAAATAGACAGTACAATAAAACATTTTAAATAAAATACCGCTTGATTGACAACAACACTTTAGTGAACTGCAAGTTTTATTGTGTCGACTAGTTTCGCCGATTAGATCGGCGTCTTCAGGACAAATTATATAGAAATTACAATCCCTGAAGTATAAAAAAATGGTATCTAAATTTTAACGTCATAATGTGTTTACTCCATTGTCTTTGTTGTTCCTGGTTACCAATGTATGAATGAAATGAAAAAATTACAAATGTATGTACATAAAGGTAGTAAATTAATGAAATAAATTGAAATAAATTGAAATAAAAAGTTAAATGTTATTGTCAATTGTTTTTAAATACTGTAAATGTTGTGAATTTCCTTGACTGTTAATTGTTTGTTTAATTCCTCCTCACACGGATTTATCTGTTTAGTACGTCCTTCGTACGTTGTGTAGCTGTCTGTAATTACTGGTGTTTCTTTTTCCTCGACTAAGTAACCGTACCTGTTGGTCTTAAATCTGGTTGGTCCTGTAGTTTTGATATAAATCACTTCGTCATCCGAATCTTCCGGTGCACTTATATATAGGTCTTCTCTAAGGATGTCAACTGTAATTTCTTCTTGTTTATTTTCACACTGTGGATTGGCAGGAGTTGGGTATATTTATTTCGACGGTCCTGCTACTATCTTGAATTTAGGTGTTAGTTCCATTTTTGTGCGAGCTTCAACCGGTGGTGTCCACTTGACAATTGGTGTAGCTGCTGCTTTCGGTGTTGCCTTTTTCTCCCTGTGATCCAATTCTAGTTTTTCTTGATGCTTTGTTGTAATATGTTTTTTCGCTGCATGTTTTCTTGTGAAATTTGCTGGGCAGTGTAGACACTCGTAAATTGTAATGGTGGGTTCGTGATTACTACGGTGGTACCTGCGTAATGTGCTGACACTTGCGAATTTTTTCTCACATTTGAGACATTTTATTTTTGTCTTTAAGTTTTTCCCACTGGAATTTACGAAACATTCTGCCTGTCTTGGTGTGATCTTTGGCTTTGCCATTTCAATTTCTTCTGTTTAAACCCCAGGGTTCAGCGGTTCCTAATTTGTGTATGATGCTTTCTTCAGTTCGTAATCTTATGTTGATGTCTTTTTTCGTTGTAATGATTCCCTTAATAGTGACATTCTCTTTATTGTGATTTTCCGACGTGAAATGGTTTGATACTGGTTTGTACTGGTTTTGTACGTTGATGTCCTTGAAGTGGCCCCTAAATCTTTCTTTTAAGCTGTTGCCTGTTTGTCCAACGCACAAAAATGGAACTAACACCTAAATTCAAGATAGTAGCAGGACCGTCTAAATATATATACCCACCTCCGGCCAAACCACAGTGTGAAAATAAACAAGAAGAAATTACAGTTGACATCCTCAGAGAAGACCTATATATAAGTGAACCAGAAGATTCGGATGTCGAAGTGATTTATATTAAAACTACAGGACCACCCAGATTTAAGACCAACTGTTACGATAACTTAGTCGAGGAAAAAGAAACACCAGTAATTATGGACAGCTACACAACGTACGAAGGATGTACTAAACAGATAAATCCGTGTGAGGAGGAATTAACAAACAATTAACAGTCAAGGAAATTCACAACATTTACAGTATTTAAAAACAATTGACAATAACATTTAACTTTTTATTTCAATTTATTTCATTAATTAACTACCTTTATGTACATACATTTGTATTTTTTTCATTTCATTCATACATTGGTAACCAGGAACAACAAAGACAATGGAGTAAACACATTATGACGTTAAAATTTAGATACCATTTTTTTATACTTCAGAGATTGTAATTAAGTCTCCCAAACGAAGTTTGGGAAGACTTATTGTTATTGCTCAGTTCTTATTATTATTATTATTATTATTCTTCTTCTTCTTCTTCCGCCGCTTTTAAATTTGAACTTGTCCGCACCCGTTTTCCAAAACCGCTTGTCGGATTAACTTAGGGTTTCACAATATGTTAGACTAACATGTCTAGTGGTGCAATCAGGGTTTTGTTTTTGCAATGGGGTTTTTAAAGGGGTACTTTGAGGGGCAAAAAGAAAAGAGGGTTTTACTATAGAACCCTATGGGATTTTATTTTTTAAAATTTTCAAATGATTATAAATTGAAAACCGTTCCTGATAGACACAAACTTTTTAATTGAAAATGTTCTAAATGATAAAGCCCATTAAATGAAATACAGGGTTAGTCCCCAGGGGTCACCCCCACCCCCTGCCATTTAAGAAAGTTCTAATACCTTGTAAGTGGTCAAGATCCCCACCCCTAAACCATATATATTCTGGTTTGTCATGCTAAGATGGTTTGAATGATATACAGGGTTAGTCCCCAGGGGTCATCCCCACCCCCTGTCATTTGAGAAAGTTCTAATATCTTGTAAATGGTCGAGATCCCCACCCCTAAACCATATATATTCTGGTTTGTCATGCTAAGATGGTTTGAATGATATACAGGGTTAGTCCCCAGGGGTCATCCCCACCCCCTGTCATTTGAGAAAGTTCTAATATCTTGTAAATGGTCGAGATCCCCACCCCTAAACCATATATATTCTGGTTTGTCATGATAAAGCACATCAAATGTAATACAGGGTTAGTCCCCAGGGGTCACCCCCACCCCCTGCCATTTAAGAAAGTTCTAATATCTTCTAAGTTGTCAAGATCCCCACCCCTAAACCATATATATTCTGGTTTGTCATGCTAAGATGGTTTGAATGATATACAGGGTTAGTCCCCAGGGGTCATCCCCACCCCCTGTCATTTGAGAAAGTTCTAATATCTTGTAAATGGTCGAGATCCCCACCCCTAAACCATATATATTCTGGTTTGTCATGATAAAGCACATCAAATGAAATACAGGGTTAGTCCCCAGGGGTTACCCCCACCCCCTGCCATTTAAGAAAGTTCTTATATCTTGAAAGTGGTCAAGATCCCCACCCCTAAACCATATATATTCTGGTTTGTTATGCTAAGATGGTTTGAATGATATACAGGGTTAGTCCCCAGGGGTCATCCCGACCCCCTGCCATTTTAGAAAGTTCTAATATCTTGTAAAAGGTCGAGATCCCCACCCCTAAACCATATATATTCTGGTTTGTCATGTTGAGATGGTTTGAATGATATACAGGGTAAGTCCCCAGGGGTCATCCCGACCCCCTGCCATTTGAGAAAGTTCTAATATCTTGTAAATGGTCGAGATCCCCACCCCTAAACCATATATATTCCTATTTGTCATGTCTCGAACATTTGAATGACGTATACGGTCAGTCCCCAGGGGTTCCCCCCACCCCCAATGTTCTAATATCTTGTAAATGGTTGAGATCGCCACCCCTAAACCATATATATTCCTGTTCGTCATGTAATGAACATTTGAATGACGTATAGGGCCAGTCCCCAGGGGTTCCTCCCCACCCCCAATATTCTAGTATCTTGTAAATGGTTGAGATCCCCACCCCTAAACCATATATATTCTGGTTTGTCATGCCAAGATGATTTGAATGATATACAAGGTTAGTCCCCTGGCATCACTAATGCATATAACTTTACTGGACCAAACCAATTTTCACTGGACATTGCCCAATGTCAGGCGACCCTGGGAATTACGAATTATGGGAGCTTCGTTTGGGAGACTTCGTAACAGCATCCTGTTACAATCAGTTCTTGTTTCTATATAATTTGTCCTGAAGACGCCGATCTAATCGGCGAAACTAGTCGACACAATAAAACTTGCAGTTCACTAAAGTGTTGTTGTCAATCCAGCGGTATTTTATTTATTTATTTTTATTGACAACCCTGCATACCATCGGGTATCCTCTTTAGTGACTCAACCTTCACTTCACCACAAAGGCGTTGGTTCAGCAGCTTCTTATTTTAATAAAACATTTTGTATTAAATAATATTTTCAAAATTGATGATTTCTGTTTAGTAGAATCAGAGAAGTTGAATTTCAAATATGCCTACAACCAACCTTCACTTATTCTCATACACACTTACAAATCATGTAAAAGCAATTACATTGTACTTGGCTATGGGAAATTAAAAAAAAACATAATAAAAAAATCTGTCTACTGTTGACTATGGAAATAAAAAAAACCAATTACTTAATACTACCCATAAGGTGAAGACTATTGCGATTTTAATTGATTTCAAAGTAGTTTCAGAAGAATTGTGTATTTTTCTAATGAATCATGCAATTAACCTTATTTGGTTATGGGAAGCTCCAAAAGCAAATTGTATCAACAAACAGAGTAGAAAGTCCAATGATATACTTCATGTTGAATATTTAATAGAGAATTATATTTATATGCTGAAAAATGTTTTAACATCTTGACTTCAGGGTAATGAATGAACTGCAACAGTTAAGACAGGATTTAGAAAGTCACACAAGGCAGCTTGAAGATTTTTACTGCAAGGAATTATCTACAACCCACTATAAAGGTATGAAAGAAATTCAGTACCACATAAGCACTGGATTAGAAAAACATACTCATCAAAGTAGAGATGATTCAAGAGAAATGTGTAACTATCAAATAAATGAGATTAAAAGTATATGTAAATACCAACAAGAAGCTCATAAAACTCTTTTGAAAACTCAAATGCAAGAACAAGCTATGATTAGGAAGCTTGAAAATGAACAATTGGCAAAACAGATTGAAATGATAACACTGAAGACAGTGAGTGAGATCAGCAACAAACAAACTTCAGATAGACATACACAAAACAGTACCCCAAATACAGTTAGGAAAGGTGTACAAGAGCAATTGGATCAAATGTTTGAAAGATACAATGAAGAATTTTCTAAAATGAGAACCCAAGTGGAAACAGTGGCAGCCAGGAAGAATTCTTTTACTGCAGAATCATCTATTGAGCCAGCTTCTGATGAAAGTTTATTACAAAGAAATCAGGATATATGTTCCAAAGTTTCAACCATAGAACCAAACAGAAAAAGTAATATATTATCAGATAATAATAGAAATTTACTTTATAATGATAGTAACAAGAAAAACTTTACTTTTGTTTCACCAAGTTACAGGGGGGACATGTGGAACACCAAATCTTTGTTTTCTAAAACAAACCCTTCGCCTGTGGCAGCAGTTCTTCCTCAGCCTCAAAGTAATGAGAACTTTGGAAACAAAAAACAAGTAGTCAGGGAGAATAACAAGAAGAGTCGGAGAAAGAGAAAGGCACATGGAGAGCCATCAAGAAAATCTCAGAGATTAAACAGAATGTGCAGTGATGCAGACTATGATACCAGTGATGCTTCTCAAACTTATAGACTTTCTCAAGATCTACAAGCAGTTGGAAATCATACTGATAGAGAACAAAATCAGCAGTTATATTCAAGTTCATTAGCTAAAACCCAAATGGAAAACAATACAATGTGCATTGGAAGGCAACAAGGAAAACAAGTAGATGTCAGAAATACAAACAGCTCTGTATTCAAACTCCCCCACTCCTCTCACATATCTCATAAAGATGCAGACCATGGCTTTTGTAACTTTGTATCAAACAGAAATGAAAATACAGGAGCAAAAGTTGCACCATTCTCTTCAAACTCAAATAGCAGAGAAAAGAAGTCAGCACAGTACGAAAAAGTACTTCCTGTAAGACCAACCACATACTCCAGCAGCAACCTCAGAAGATCCACTCCAAGTGTTGTAAGTTCTTTACAGCCCATTAGGAGATTTTCACAGCACAGGGATAGCCATAGCATTAAAAGCCATATTAAACCAAACCACAATTCTGGATTAAAACAGAAAAATGGGAGTGTTTATGACTTCAATGACTCCCCTGCTGGCAGTACAAGAACTGTAAAGGAGATAAAACAAAGGTAAAGTATTTTTACCAATTTGAACTTTTAAATTTTAACTTTTTAATGATTTATTACCCATGATTGGATGATGATGAATTAGTATAAATGTTTTGGACCACAAAGTTTGCTTTATTAAATGTTTCACAATGTCATTGATTAAAAACTTATAGTTTTATTGAACTGTTGTTTGTTGTTCATCCAGAAAGCTGAATTTTGGTATGAAATGGATGATGAGTTTATATAGGATGTCTTTGTGGTTTTTAGACATTTCTTTATTGACATTAATCTGAATGGGTAGACAGGAAGAACATTAACAAACATTTTCTATTGTATAAATGTAAACTTTTCTTAACTTAGATATCCCCTCCTTCAAGGCAATGAAATTTACCATACCTAAAATAAGATTTAAAAAAAAAAAAAAAAAAAAAAATAAAGTAAATACAAATTGTCACTAATATGAACTTGGATCTTCTCTTATATGAATCCATAAACAAAGTTAGACATCAATGAAGTATGCTGGAAATGGCTTACTTGAAAAAAAAAAAGTAAATAATGTGATTTACACTAATTAATTTGATAATCTCTTGGTCCATATGCTAGCTTGCACAGTGAAGTCTGCTATCCTCACTTTACATTTAGTTTGGATTATTGATTTTGATTATCCAAGATTATGGAGGTTTAGAACCAAAAATTTGATTTAACACTCTTATTTCCCTTTGAAAGGACCTGTACCAATTCAGGGATTTGAAACTGCCTTTTTTAATTTGTTCTACCAGTTGATGTTTTGCATTTTCTCCCATTTTTTTCAAATTACTTGACTTTGGACTTGAAGTTTTAGAAATTTCCTTTAAATATTATTCTTACATATTGCCCAATAATTGTTTCTATTGGTTTAAAGTACTTTGTTCTTTTTCAGGGACAGATATACTTTAAACAGACATGAATCAGCTGTGAGTCTTTACATTTTTTTAGTTCTGCAAAACGAAAAAAATAACTTTAGTAACAGTCTGGGGTTTTTGTCTTATCAAGGCTTTGTCTACTTTGTTATTCTACTTTATTTTCAGTGCAAGTGATAGTATAAGTGCATTTGTTTTATTTTAGATCTTAGTATATATATATATGCATATATATTTATACTAATCTAAAGATCTGTGCAACAATACTAAAGAAATATATATTTGAATAAGATGAAATATGTCTTATAGAAAGACAAATATTTTGGCACAACAAATACCCTTGTCAGTGTTTATGTAGTATCTTCATTTCCAGTGAAAACTTCTTTTGGAAAAGAAGGAATGTGGTTTATCAATTCATGACACAAAATCACTACATTCACTGGAAAAATCAAACCAAAGGAACAGCACTTTATTGCTTTTCTTCATTTCAAAATTCCCCAAAAGACTTCAACATGCAGCAAAAATTTTTATCTCACGATGAAAAGATGCGCCCTTGCGCTGGTTTGAGTGAAATTCTTTGCTAGAACTTCAATAAGGACATAATATAAAATGGATAAATATAAGTCTTCTGCTGGTTTCTTGGATAAGCTTCTGTTCAGTACATTAATGACAAATATTGAATTATCTCCATTTATTTGAATTTACCTATTGATTGAATTATTTTTATTCTGCTGGTTTCTTAGATGATATAAGCTTCTGTTCAGTACATTATAATTAGAATATAGAATTATCTCTCTTTATTTTATATTACCTATTGTTATTTTAAATATCTATTTGAATTAAATATTAGGGTTTGGTAAATTGTATAAACTTACCGGTTTTTAATTGTGACATTTCTCATCTTAAGTTATCAAAGAAAACTTTCATGCTATAATCTTTTTGTGGTTTATCTGTCAAACAAATTATGATCAATCCATTATCTGTATGTATTTGGCTCATATACAAATGATTTGTCCTTTATTTCAGACTGAAAGTAGCAGAGAATCATCACCATCTTTATCCATTACAAAAATAATGATTCAGAGAAAAGTTAAAAATAGAAAAAGACAACATTCTAGCACTCCTCTTCAAAAAGATGGAATTCAAACTTGTAAGCTACTTTATTAAACTCCTATCTTTTGATTGGTTAGGTACTATTTTTGGTTTTGACCTAAAAGGATTGTTAGGTGGTCTATATTTTCGTGGTGATCAAATGCTGTGATTTCTAGGGCCAAACCTATTCATGATGTGTTCATTTTCCTAATTTCCGGGTCATCATTCTGATCAGGCCAAATATGTTTGAGAAAATACCTATTAATTATAAAGTAATGATTCTTCATTATTTCACTCACATATTTTGTTTCCTAGTTGAGCGTTTGCATGAACTATAAAATACAAAAATTTACGATAATCTCAGATCTTTTTTTAGTAGTAAGTCAATTAAAAATAACTAGTGTTTTGAATATGGGACAAAAGAGCTTTTAGCTGTATAGATTTCTTATATTTAGCATTTAGTCTTTATCACACTTTACTTCATAGTATCTCAAAGAAAAGAAGAAATGTCAGACGATTTCTTTAGTACACCAAATACAGAGGACAATCCAAATACTTCCGATAACTGGGAAAGTCAATCTGTGGTATGTTATCATGTTACATATTCCAAGTGAGACCTATTTTTGTGTAATGTTTTGAACTATTGCTAATATATTATTAAACAAGAATATGTGTTAATAGGACACCATGTCCCACTTGCACTATCACATTTTAATATTCAGTGAACCAAGAAATCTGGGTCCAAACCCTAATTTGGCATATATATTAAAAAGTTCACATCTTAATGAACATGTTAACTAAGTTTCAAGTTGATGTGACCACAACTTGATGGTTAAATACCTTAGACCAAAACGTTAACCTGATCAGTGTACACTACAGTAAAACCAGGGTCATAAGTCGTATTATTTTGGCATATAAAAAAAGTCAACATGTTTACTAAGTTTCAAGTTGATGTGACTACAACTTGATGGTTAAATACCTTAGACCAAAACGTTAACCTGATCAGTGTACACTACAGTAAAACCAGGGTCATAAGTCGTATTAATTTGGCATATAAAAAAAGTCAACATGTTTACTAAGTTTCAAGTTGATGTGACCACAACTTGATGGTTAAATACCTTAGACCAAAACGTTAACCTGATCAGTGTACACTACAGTAAAACCAGGGTCATAAGTCTTATTAATTTGGCATATAAAAAAGTCCACTTCATAATGAACATGTGTACTAAGTAATTTCAAGTTGATGTGTCCACAACTTGATGGTTAAATACCTTAGACCAAAACGTTAGCCTGATCAGTGTACACCACAGTAAAACCAGGGTCATAAGTCATATTAATTTGGCATATAAAAAAGTCCACTTCATAATGAACATGTGTACTAAGTTTCAAGTTGATGTGACCACAACTTGATGGTTAAATACCTTAGACCAAAACATTAACCTGACCAGTGTACACTACAGTAAAACCAGGGTCATAAGTCTTATTAATTTGGCATATAAAAAAGTCCACTTCATAATGAACATGTGTACTAAGTAAGTTTCAAGTTGATGTGTCCACAGCTTCATGGTAAACAACTTTAAACCAGAACTTTAAAATGATCAGTGAATTACAAATCTGAGGGTCAAAACCTATATTAGGTATATATTGTAAGATGTTTACATCATAATGAACATGTTTACAACGTTTCAAGTTGGTGTAACCACAACTTCATCAAAAGTTTAACCTGATACCTGTCAGATGCACAGGAAAACCTAATGCCCCTAACTGTCATAGTATGAGCATTTATATTGAAGATTTCAAAGTGCATAAAACCCGATATTAGTTAACATGTAAAAATGGATTAAAGCAAATTCACAAATTTTATAGTACAGACGAGTTTTAGAATGATTATTATCAATCTTAATGATTGTGATACTTAAAAGCATTAAGTGACCGTTAAAAATTAAAGATAGTATAAATAGAGACTAGATGAGTGCAGACACCTGTCACAAATAATATCATTAGGACAATACATGACTAAGACAACCCCAACACTAACATTATTTATCACAGACATAATAATACTAAATGACCAAAGATTTGTTTGATAATGAGAGCCCTACCAAGTTGGTGGTTGTGCTGTAGTAATATCTGCATTCATCTAATACTATATATCCCCAATTCATATGTTATAAAATAACTCAATTTTAAAATTTTTTTTGTTTCCTATTTTATATTGACTTTTTTTCACTTTGGTAATTTATGGGACTTCTTGATTGTAAAATTTCTTTCTAGAGTCCTTATAATTTGCTGAGATTGGTTTGATGTTTCCATTGTGGTTGATATTTTACTAGAAACTTCTGATCAAGTTAACTTTAAATTTGAAATAAACTATGCCATGAAATATTTCAGTATTGCATAATAACATGATTTGCTTTTTATTCTAACCTTTACACTTTATGTAGATGTCTGGTTACAGTAGAAGAGGTGAGAAAAGGAAACTTGACAACTTCAATCTTGGACAAGAATTATTTGCAATCAAGAAAGCTTTTAATGTTTAGAATAACACAAGAAAAATTAAAAAGTGCTAATCTAACAACTTTTAAAAAAGTATGAGCACATCAGAATAATGATCACATAAAAGTCAAAGAAAACTTGTCATTCTTTTTATTTATATCTACTTTTAATAAGTAATATTTTTTTTACTTGGTAGTGCGGGATAAGAATTTACATAAAAATTACATGCTGCCTCTTTAACATTGTAAGGGTTAATATAACAAAACTTGTCAATGACTATAAAAATATTGTTTATAAATAGTTATTCTTTATTAGGCTAGCTATCATTACATTTTACAGATAAACGTTCATGATATAGCCTATGTGATGTTTTTTTTTTTACAAAAGAAAGAATGTATGTTTTGATTCAATTGTTATATTCAGTGAATCTGTTGCTTAATTTAGAGTGATTAAATCAGACATGTTCATATGGCCATGCAAAATTGAGGCTCATTTTGCAAAAAAAATAATAAAAGGATTTTATTTTTCATTTATGACATTTTAAAGTATTTAATACTGTTTTTCAGTTATTTTTTTTTTAAATTTTATTGTTTTGCAGAGTGACAAACTAGATTGTTACAGTATTTTTTTATGAATTACAAAAGCCAATAAATTTGTAATCTCACTATACGATCATCCTGAAGGTCATCCCAAAGCCAAATGGCTTGGTATTAATATTAATGTAAATGTATTGTGCATAAGGGAAATTAGCTACAGAATGTGTAATGACATGCACAGATAATGGTAGAGATACAAATATGGGATTCGAAAAAAAAAATTGACAAGTAACATTAATGATCTTTAGTTGACAAATTCTGTGATATTTTAATATGGACTTGTTCTGTGATATTTTGTTACTTATTGTTACTGTTTGATTAAAATTGTTACAAATTTATATTTGTTTTATAATTTTCTAGATGCACTCGCTTTAATGATGCTCAGTTTCGTTCATAAAGAAATTTATTTCCTGTAAAAAACAAGAAAGTACATGCTGAAATGTTTTGCCTGTTTTACTTTTTTTACTTTTTTATCGTTGAATTTATGTTGAAAGTCTGTAATATGAAGGTTTTACTTTAAGTTTCACATAAACTTAACATTATCAATGTTCAATGAAAATGAGTTCAAGGTCAGATGAACCATGCCAGACAGACATGTACATCTTACAATCATTCCATACACCAAATATAGCGGTCCTATCGCTAATAGTACATGAGAAACAGATCAAACCACAAAATCTTAACATTGTCCAATGAACCATGAAAATGATGTCAAGGTCATATGAGACAGACATGCACACCTTACAATCATTCCATACACCAAAAATAGTTGACCTAATGCTTATAGTATCTGAAATACAGACTTGACCATGTAACTTGAACCTTGATCACTGATCCATGAAATTGAGGACTTGGTCTGGTGATTCCTACCTGACAAACATGTAGACGTTCCAAGGAACCCATATATCAAATATAGTTTTCCTATTACTCATAAATAAGTGAGTATTTCACTTGACAAAAACTAATATATTATCAAGCCGTCACTGAACCATGAAAATTAGGACAAGGACAATGGACATATGATGGACTGAACACAGGCACTTGTTTCTATCCATGGGAAGCCCCACTATCAACGTATATTTACGCTGCCTTAAACCGGTAGTTGTTGTATTTTGTAGGAGGACTAAAAACAATCACATGGAAATTTATTGACAAATCTTGTGTATTGGAGGTAAGGGGTACCCTAAGGGTAAATACAATCCATACCATCTGAAAGAAAAACTTTTCACGAATCGAATGGTGTATGGAACAATAAATTTGAGAATGAATTGACAGCAAAATAAGGGTTTGAAGCGGAGAGGTGAAAAAAGTAGTTGGGTACCTTCTCGTAAATATACGTTGATAGTGGGGCTTCCTATGGATAGAAACAAGTGCCTGTGGGACTGAAACTTCTAGGTCTTCTACTCTGAAATATAAAGGTTTATACAAATACTTTACGCCATCTCATCCACCACATTGTAATCTGTGTGTCGCATTCTGAAACTCGTCCCAGGCCAGACAAACGAAAGGCATCCAAGAGCCTGTGTGGCTCACCTAGGTCTATGTGCATCTTCAACATTGTAAACTACTGTTTACAATTTCCCTCTATATTATTTAGTTTTTGCCCAAAACACAAAAGAGGATAAAAAAAATTAGTTATTTAAGGGCAATCACTCCTTTCTACTAACTTTTTTGGCAGAATTTGATCCGATTGTAGATCTTGTCTTGCTGATCATTTTTATTTATTTTAAATTTTCTATATATCTTTTATTTTTTTCAAGATAATAGGCAAAAAAACACGACATTAAAGAGCAATAACTTCAATAACCAGTCGACTGAAGAATTCAGCTATGAGACTTATTTGTAGATCTTGTCTTGCTAATCACTTATGCTGTTTAAAGTTTTCTATCTATCTATTGTAGTATTTAAGATTTAAGGCAAAAAAATGGTAAAAATTGTCATTTAAGGGCAATAACTTTAATAAGGAGTTGATTGACGATTTGATTTCCGTTTTTTGACTTATTTGAAGATCTTGTCTTGCTGATCAGTTTTGCTGTTTGAAGTTTCTCTCCATTAAAGTTTTCAAGATAATAGGTAAAATGGAAAAAAAGTAGTAAAAATCTTCATTTTAGGGCAATAACTCCAATAAGAAATTATCTAAAAGTTTTGTATAGATAATAGGTAGAGCTCAACATTCTGAACTTTTCTCTAATTATAGCAGTTTTCAAAATAATAGACAAAACTTACATTTTACCCCTATGTTCTATTTTTAGCCATGTTGGCCATCTTGGTTGGCTGGCGATGTCATCAAACTCATTTTATAAATTAGTTCCCCAAATGATACTTGTGGCCAAGTTTGGTTAAATTTGGCTCAGTAGTTTCAGAGAAGATGATCTTTGTAAAAGTTAACAGACGACACAATGGACACCAAGAGATGGAAAAAGCTCACATGGCCTTTCCGGCAAGGTGAGCTAAAAATGGATAATAATTTTTACCAAACTTATCACTAAATTATTATTCATAGGGTATTGTATCAAATGAATATTAAATGTAAGAAATGGTGGCAAAAAAAGAAGAGCCTGAAAAACTCACTTTGCAAAATATTGCCATATTGATATTCATTTTCACCTACTTCCTCGATAATTGTTTTACTTGAAACATGTTATTTATATTCAAATACAATATATACAGTTCTTGGTGTGTGTCGAGTGAATTTAGGGGCTTTATTTGTTCAGTGCCAGGATAACAATATTTATTAATGTAAATAAATAACAAACAAAAAAATATTTACAAAGTATTCAAAGCCAGAAAACAGTGTGAAGAACCTTTTTTGTTTATCAATTTTGCTGTTTACAAATTGTTTAATAGCTCACCTGGGCCAAAGGTCTGTGATTATTTGCTATCGCTAGGCTTCTGTCATTTGTTAATTTTTTCAAAAATCTCAGATGCAATTGAAACCAAAATTGGCCACAATGATCCTTTGAGTATCTAGTTTAAAAAATGTGTCTAATGATTTTGCCCCCCTTTAACTAATATAGCTAAAAATAGAACATGGAGACCAATGCAAGTAATTGTCTAATACCTTGAAAACCATAAGAGAAATTTTTGCAGGAGCAACAATGCTGAAAATATCAACCTACGATTCATTTTGATCGCATAAAACTGGTTTAACCCAACCACATTGTGTCTTTACCAAGTCGGGATATCTGAACCATGTGTTGTTTGTCTTTGTTTTACTTTTAGAACATATGATCTAGAATGGCAAACAGGTAGGTGTGCAAGATAAACTGATTTGACTACAGCACATTTGTGCCTGAACCTAGATGCAATTTTTGTTGTTAAGTTTTGTTTGTGTGTCATTTCTCAAAGGAAGATGGTGTTGGTTGTTGGTGTGGACAGTTGTATTGTCCAATATTTTTGGTAATTCCTTTTATTCTTTTATATATTATAAAGCTAGCATTCAATACAAACATATCACATATTCTTCATATTCATGAGACTTCAACAGCTAATAATGTTTTAGTGTAAGCTTTTAAAAATATAACTTGAAATGCATTCTGAAACTGATAATTGTTTTCAGAAGATTTTATGTCTCTAGCAATCATAGAATATGGCCACCATTATATATATTTTCATTATAAAGAAGCAACACAAGGATAAAGTTCTTAGACCACATGCATTCTGTGTTTTTTAAATTGAATTAACTTCTGACACAGAAATATATGTCTTACAATTGAGAATGGAAATGGGGAATGTGTCAAAGAGATAACCCGACCAAAGAGCAGAAAAGAGCCCAAGTCCACCAATGGATCTTCAACACAGCGAGAAAATCCCACACCCAGAGGCGGGCTTCAGCTGGCCCCTTAACAAAAATGTGTACTAGTTCAATGAAAATGGACTACACACTAAACTCCAAAACATATAAATGAACTAAAATTAAAAAACATACAAGACTAACAAAGGCCAGAGGCTTCTGATTTGGGACAGGCGCAAAAATGCGGCGGGGTTAAACATGTTTTGTGAGATCTCAACCCTCCCTCTATACCTCTAGCCAATGTAGAATAAACAAACACTTGCCTGTATGTAATTTTTCATAGTAAAATGCACATGTGCAAATACAAATAGCAATACCTTTATACATGTAAAATATGCAAATATTCGAAGTCACTGAACCGTAGGGCCAAATAATTTCCATGGAAATAAGATAAGCAAATTCTGATACAACTTCATACAAATTATCATTGACTTACCAATGAGGGTTAATCTTAAACTTACCTATTCATAAACTTCAATGCATAAACTATGCAACACAATAGACTATGACTGAGGGGACAGGGTCAAGTAATCTCTGTGGAAATGATATATGCCAATGCTTATACAAATGCATACCAAATATCATTGATTTATCATAAGTGGTTCACCTTAAACTGACCTAATCACAAACTTTAAGATCTAAAGAAGTGTAAACTAAGCATTTGTTTCAAAGTTAATAGGCCGTTACTGAAAGGACAGGGTCAAATAATCTCCATGGTAATGAGATGTGCCAATACTAATACAACTGCATACCAAATATCATTAATCTACTATTAGTGGTTTTCCATAAACTGACCAGACCAAATCACAAACTTAAACAAATTGTTTAAACAGAAAACAGCACACCAAAGTCTAGATTTTTAACCTTGCCAGTATAGAAAATTTCACTGTTCATGACATCATTTTTATAACCTAAACAAAATTCCAGTTTTCTTAAATTTTTTACAGGAAAGGGAAATTGTATGTACAGTGTAAGTCAGCTTGTTTTTCCTAAGTTATCATGTAATAAGTTAACTTATGTTTCTGTGTCAATTCAACCATTTTGTTAATGAATGTAACTGGTAAAATAAGTTTCTGTAAGTTGACTGCAAGGTGTTCATGCTATTCAACCTTGACCTCAGATTTTTACACACATCCATTAAGGTAGATTAACTGTATACCGCCATCTTGGATTGTAAAATAGCAGTACATAATCGGTCTAGTTCTTTTCCTAAATCTGCAAATATTTACCGGTAGACAGATTGGTAATTTATATGTGTAAGACTGTAAGTTTAAATAAAGAAAATAAGTAATTTATTGCATTATTTATATTGTCTTAACAAATACTAAATATTTGTTTTGTTCAATGCAATTTTTCAACTTAGCCATATAACGGGAGATAACTCTGTTAGTAAATTTTTTTATACTGGAATGATAGTGAAATTTTCATTTTTTACTTGTAACAAGAAAACAAGTTTGGTGACACCATTTTTTATTTTTATTTTCTTAAAGCATATTATAAAACCTATCTTCTCATATTTTATTTCAAAATTCTATCTCATATATTTCTTTTTATTCACAAAAAAGTGTTTTTTCATGAATAATCTATGCAAAATTGGGCAATTTTGGACATCTTGTACTTTGAAAAATAGCATGGTGACCCATACTTATGATTATATATCTTTTAAAAGCATGGCAAAATCTATATTTTGGCAAAGTATAAGAAAATTCTATCTGAGGAAATATATAGCGATGATCCACCTTAAGTAGATAAAACATTTTTGTATTAGCCAACACTTGTTATGTTTGCCTTGTGTATGAGTATGTATGTATTCAGTATCTAATGATACTGTAGTTTCTACTATTACTCGAATTCAAAAAAAAATTACTCTAGAACGGTTAAAGTGACACCACCAATATTCAAACTTGATCTGTGTTTTGTGGTAATAAGCATTGTGTATAAGTTTCATAACATTTGGTTGAGGCAAACTCAAGTTAGAGAACGGAAACCAATTTTGGGACGTACGTACGTACGTATGCTCGTACGTACATACGTACGTACAGACGGACAAGGGTAAAACTTAATGCCGCCACCGCTACGGCGGGGGCATAAAAAAAAAAACATATTCTAATTAAAATCATGTATTATGTATAACATTAAAAAATTACTAAAAAATATTATAAAATGTTAATAATCATATTCTTCATCTATATTTCCTGAGTATTCACATATTTTGTCAAAGTCTATATTGATCACATCATCTCTATCCCTCAATAACTGTAATGTCGCTATATATCGAGACTTGTCTTTCTTCATTATTCTTGCTAACTGTAAAAGAAGAACAATATGAATAAAAGAACAGTGTTCCAATACCCTCATCGATGCACATATCTTATCTGTCCAAATGAAAAAATATATATATAATTTTTTTTTTTGGTTCTTTTAAACTTTTCATAAATATCCTATGAGAAATGTATGTGTGAGATCGCTTACAATTTTCATATAATTTATAATTTCTAGTGGCATAACTCCTTTAAAATTGTTGATTGGCACTAATTTAAGTTGATATTTAATACAAACATATTATATTTAAAAGAAAAAAATCATTTTCAAAGCTCACTTATTATTTTCATTCTCAGTCATTGATGCCTACCACATTTTTTCATAATGTTGATTAAGATACCTGTCCTTTCTGTTTCCCACTAACAATAAGTACATGGGCATTTTCTTGCTTTGGAATAACTGTTTCCAGTTCAGATTGAGAAATTCCTATAAAAAATTATAAATACATTGAAATTAATCTGGTGATAGCCATACTTGTGTTTCAAATTATTTCTAAAATTTTGTTTTTTTAGAATTATTTCTTTTGACCTATTAATTTAAAGAAAATAACGCTTATTTCATTTGGAAATTTAATGTGCATGTTGTTTCAATTTTACTTGACATCTTGATTGTAAAGCTCATTTAGTTTCTTAAATTTTAAATCTGTAAATAGCCAATATGTGCTAAAGTGCCATCAAGAAATTAACAATCAATCATTCTAAGATATTTGTAAAGGAAATTTGTCCCAAGAACAAAATGGCAGTATAGGAAGTCAAAACAACAATAAAATCAATAAATAATATCGTTCTAATGGAGTGTTGTTTTTTCCCGTAATAACCAACATTAATAATAAAATTTACAAAATTACTCTCTTTAATATATAGAACACAATAAAACTTTATTTTATATCAGATTAACTTGCAAAGCTTAAAATCATTTACAGTAAATATTAAACTTACCCTCCAAAACTTTACCATCATCAGTCTGACAAACACAATTATCTAAGGACAATATATCTATTACATTTACCTGCAAATATTAATAAATTATAAATAACATTTCAATATATGAAATGAAGTAACATTTGAAAGGTTATGATATTTCTTTGAATCTACTAATTAATCAAATTACAAGAGGCTCTTACAATTTGAAGAAACACTGTATTGTATTTTAAGCTTAGCCTACCTAAAACGTGGGTTTTACTGTCACAATTTGAGCTTACCTAGTGACACATGGTGGAGGGAAGTAAACAGATATTTGCTACAGTGAAACCAAGTTATACTTAGATCAAGCTTAAAATACAATACAGTTATCTCCATTGTAATGCAAATTTCTTTAAAAAAATATTTATAGAACACAGTTCCAATGTCCCCTGCCACATGGTTTAGTCAATGTAATTTCAATGCAATTGTCTTTTGTATGAGATAATAAATTGTTACTGATACTTAAATGCAAAATGTATGTATGACCATTACCTTAGTATTATAATATCTGCCTTTCTTGTAATCTTTACTTATAATTCTGACTCGGATCTGAGGTTTTATCCAAAGAGACTCAGATCTGCCGTGACCATTCTGACTGCTTTTGGTTTTGTCTGCATAATCTTCTAACCTGAAAAAGTAAAATACATATGAACCTCATTGTGTCGTTAATTCTAAGTCAAGATAGTGTTATTTTGTCAGTCCATGTAAAATTTCATTTGTTAAAATCATTTTTAACTCTGATGAGTCAAACTTGGATAATTTGAAATTTTTGTTAATTCAAGTGTATCATGAAGTCCCCTTGCAGAAAAATTAACACATATTAATCTAAATGTAACAAAGTATGAAGGATGAGAAAATTTAGGAGTAAAAAATTCAAATGGTATGCTTTCATTGAGCATCATGAGTTTCCTAAATTAAAAGCTTTTCAATTATTTTTTATTATAACAATCAGAATGACCTCTTTAATGTTTGTAGATTTTATGATTGATCAAGTGGCAAATTGTGATTGTGGAACCCATAAAACCGTACAGTATGACAACAAATTAAAAGTCAAGAACAACCATTAAAGATGAAAGGCTGTAATAATTTTTGATAAAAGTAATGAAAAAAGATTGAGATTGGACTTCAACAGGTAGTGGCTTGGAGGAAGTTGAAAACATTACATCTCTAAAAATTATCTTAGAGAGCAATTTCTGATATATTTTATATTTCCAAGGGGCATAACTTATTAGAAATATTTGATTGACACTTTATTTTTAAAATTGTCCAAGACATTGCTGTTATAAACCTTTGATATAAATTTGATAAAATCTGGCAAAAAATATACATATGAGAGCGCTTACAATGCAAATTTCCATATAATTTATATTTCTAATGGGCATAACTCTTTTAAAAATAATTGATCTCACTGATTTTCAAACTTATCCAAGACATTGCTGATTAACCTATTATATAAGTTTCATAAAAATCTGGCAAGAATTGTCCATGTGAAAGCACTAACAAGACTGGACTGAAAGAACGCACGGACGGATGCCCAGTATTTCTATGTCCCCCGAAACGCATCTTGCGTGGGACAGTTACCTGTTTTCACAAGTACATCCCTAATTACCGTATAAACTCGCCTAATAGTCGATCCTACTATAAGTCAGGGGCCCTTTTCAGCTCCAAATTCTAAGGATTAAGTCTTGACCCTCGTATAAGTCGGACAAAATTTGGACATTTTTTTTTCAGCTGACAGTAACTGAACGCCGGTAGAACCAATGCAAATCCAGGAATAATATTCATTTCTGCATTAATGTTTGGTTTGAATTTAGTTGATGCTCATCATGATAATTTATATTGCTGTTAATAATAAAGATGTATTCATTTCTCTTGTTTTGTTCACTGTTCAAATGTTAGATTAGCCATGTGTTGTTTACGTAATGCATCAATGATTTTGTAGGGTATGACTAACAACCTATTGTTTGAGAAAAGCGAATATAAACCAATATGAACCTGAAAAATTTAAAGTCAATCAACACTTGATGAAAATATTTTTCACAGCATACATAACTCGGTGTTAAATGAGCATGTACACTTCATAATTCTTATTATATTGTGATGATTAAAGGATTAAAAAAATTAAGTGAAGCTTATCAATATATTAAAATAACTAACTCCAACTCATTAGTGTCATCTGTTTACCTATCACTGATAGTTTTCACACCTTTAGTAAATACAACTCTTTGTCTCTTAATTGGGGTTATCAATGGATTATATTGGCTTGTCAATCAATTTTTTAATTTTTGTTTACCTGAGACACTTTAATGAATAATATTTTGATTTTGGGAATGAATCTTAAAATTATTTTTTGATTATTATATGATTTATAAGCATTGAATTGATATCATGATATCACAATAATGACACAATAACACCGCTGAAAACATCCTTTCACATATTTGGTACATTGTTATCTCCTTTTCATTTTTGGTTCTTGGCTCTTCTTTTGGGTTTATAGGAAAACCATGTGACCATGAAAATCAATAAACAAAACGGAAACAGTAGAATTTCAACACGAATTTGCAGAAAATGTTTACCAAAGAACAAATAAAACACAAAGACAGTATTGTAGTCATTTATTTTCAACAAAAACTTTTTATTTATTGATACTCCTGACCACTTTTCTCAAGCTTGGATTTTTCCTCTGGTCGCTAGATCTCGTCTATTAGTCGGTCCCCCTCTCTGGATTATGAATTTTACTCCCAATTTTCCGACTAATAAGCGAGTAGGTACGGTAATAAATATTTATGTCATCTTTAAAATCATTTGATGTGTAGGGTATCACTGTTATATTTTTAAATTATTTTGTTTAAGATGTAAGAACTGTAACTTGGATTTTTTTTGTGGATATGAATTGTGAAAGGACTTTTGAATGAGCATAGTAAATAAGAAATAAAAATCTAAAATAATAGTCTAATGATCTATTAAGCAATACTTTTATTCAGTTACAAACATATACCTATCATGCTTCCTTTTTCTTGAATCAGAACTAGGATGTCTATCATCATCTTCGAAATGTTTACTACCATGGTCAGAATCCTCATCTCTGTGTTTGTCTTTTTTTGATTTGTGATGTTTCTCTCTTTTTCTTTCCTTCTCCTTCTTTCTTTCCTCTTCTTCCTTGTATTTGTCTGCTTTTCCTTTGTCTGCAAAGTGTTAATAAAGCATGTCAAGATACTGATGTTCCCTTTGTCTTTATACATCAAATTAAATTGTATTACACTTGCAAATTGTGCATATTTAGCATTTTTAGACCTCTAAATGGAATTCAGATGTGTCATACATTACCTAAAATTTTGACTGATATTGATTTCATAGAATCCTACCTGCTTTAAAGGTTAGACTGACATTTCAGAGAAAACTAAAGGCTTTAAAGAGCTTGTGTCGCTCACCTGCATCTTCAACAATTACTATTTTTTGGTAAAAATCATGATCAGAGGGCAATAACTCTATAAAGAGTTAACTGACAATTTCACTCATGTTGGAATAATAGTCAATCTTATTGGGTGATCAAATTTGCTTTTTAAAGCTTCCTTCTATCTATAGATTTCAAGATAACAGGCTAACACATGGTAAAAATCATCATTTAAGTGCAATATCTCCTGTAAGGCAGGGCTCACACTATTTCAGAATCATAGGGAGAAGTGCTCGTTCGCTCGCTCGTAGTGCTACAATGTTTTTTTATTTTTACTTTAATAAAAAGGGCCATATGTATCCTATTTATCTATTTTTTATATTGTTCAATTTATACCTGAGTATACAATTAAAATAACATTTTTTTCAGTTTATCATTTCTAGTCCCACAATTATATAGGTCCTCTTGTCAGAAACTACCAACTAAATATCTAGTACTAAAAAGAACTTTTTTTTATATCAAAAAGGAAAAAAAGTATAATATATCAATTAAAATTCAATTAAAAAACCAATCAGTTTATCATGTTTATGAAATTCATTGTTTCTCATTCTAAAGATATATAAATTTAACAAAGTTAAGCAACTTTAATCAATAAAATGAAACAATGCTTATAAATGGAAATATATTCATTCAGCAAGGAGATCTAACCTAAAGTCTGTTAATGTGTGTGGAATGCGTAATTATCCCTTTTGGAATCATTATTCTTCTGTCAGCAGTGCCATTTGTGCATCCGTAGTTATTAATGTAAGAATACAGATTTCGATCATATCTGGTCCGGTTCAGATCAATCCCGCCTCCGATCCATAGTTTGCACAATTATTTCAATGGCGGACAAAAAGAATTTACAAAATAAATGATGTTTGACAAGCTATTTGGAAAAGAATATGACGTTTTTAATGCAATAAATGGATTGAACATTAACTAAAGGCAATTTTCAACACGTTCTTATGAAGTAACAAATTTATTTTGCCGAAAATCAGAATGTTTTGATGTACGCTCTCGAGTAACAAGTACCGGAAGTGTTAAAAAGTTGTCTGTATGAAATAACATACAATCCATCTGTAAAGTCAATACTTTCTACTCTTTTCTAAAGAAATAAATTGTTTATGTCTTTGAATTTCTTTACTTATAAATGAAAAATTGTTGTTTCATCGACTTGGTAAAAATTGAAAATTGCCGACGGCGAAAGCGACTGAAAGCGAGTATTGTAAACACCAGGGCGACTAGATATCGCTTTTGACAGTCGGGCAAAGAGAAGTGACGGACGGGAAAGCGACTTCTTCGCCCCAGTCGCCTGCTAGCGTGAGCCCTGGTAAGGAGATGATTGATGATTTGGGCAATGTTGACTTATTTAGTAGATTTTGTCTTCCTGATCAATTTTGCAATTTAGATTTCCATCTATCTATTATAGTTTTCAAGAGAGAAGGCAAAAACACAATAACAAAATTGGTAAAAAATTTTCATTTAATGGCAAAAACTCCTATAAAGAGTTAGCAAGTTCAGTAGTATCAACTTATTTGTAGATCTTGTCTTACTTGAAGACCTGACTGTAGGTGTTCCCTGTAAATACAAACTGTACATACAAAGCATTTTTGCATGAGTAATGTCTTCCTTTATAGTGTTTGGTACCAGCAGTAAGTCTAGATTGAATGTTAGTCCTCAAATTCATCATTTTGATGTTACTTACTAAGATATTTAGAATACTTTTTATACTCGTGGCTATCTACAAGTCGGATTGCATATTGACTTTGTGTGACCATATTCCCAGTCAATGTAAGCTTGACCATCACTCTTGCATTGTCTTCGTCTAAACCTTCTATCTGTTAATAAAAAATAAGAAAGAAATTGTTGTATACAACTTGAAAATCAAAAGATTTTCATTTATTTGCTCAAATTTCTTTTTACATTTTTTGTACTATCAATAACTTTTGAAACAGAAAAAACAATCATGATTATATTACACTATTATGCATTATAATGCACAAATTCAAAACTAGCATAATTATCTTTGTTTATAAATTTTCTTTGTTTATAAATTTTCGCATGGATAGATGCTTATTTTCCTATTATTACACCCCCACTCACAAACAGGTTTGTTAACAGCAACCACCTGTCAACCCATCCCCATTTGTCCCACAATTACTATTGTAACAAATTACTCAGCTACTGTATTAACACTGAGATGCATATTACATGTACCTAAATTTAAGACTGGCATTATTTTAAAAACAAATATCAGAAAAATCAACTGCAAAACTAGTATAAATATTAATTAGTTATTTACCCCCCCCCCCCCCCCCCCCCCCCCATATTAGCTATCTACTTATCTATCTACTGGTAGTGATCAATTTCAACAAATTGAAAGTATGTCATAGGAGGTATACATATGACAAGACATTGAGTCTGCTGAACAGACATATTCAAACCTATGAAAACTAACACTTGAGAAGAAATTACCAATATTTTTCATATGAATATTACATTGTATTTAACAAGCTGAGAGTAATCATATGAGAATCTGAAAACATGCCTCATTATATACTGTAGATTCATTTAATTTCAAGGTTTCCAATTTTTAGTGCAGTGAGGAAAACTTGCATTTTGGTGGTTTTAACAATGTCTGTATACATTCCTATAAAAAATTAGTATTTCATTGAACAATTAAATCCTTGTACCAATGAAATCCATGAAATTTGGTATCTAAGGAATAATAATTAATCCACAGTAGCTTACAGATTCGAAGCCAGGTATATGAAGTCTATCAGTGTTGTTCTTTTCTCTTTATACTACTTTCACACAACTTACAATTCCATAAAGATCTTTATTTGCTCCCTTCAGAAGAACACAGTAAGCTCCCTTCTTCAAAACTAGTGCTTCCTCGTCGTCATTTTTTCTGGATCCTTTCTTAGAATCATTCAACTGGGCTGCTTGTGATCTATCAGCTCCTAATCCAAGGCCCTTTGGTCTCAGTACAGCATTCACAGGAGCTACAGCTCTATGTAACAACAGAAATTATTGTAATTTTAAAAATATTTCACTTTTGTATTTTTTTCAAACATTAGCATTTACAAAAAAAACCAATATGTCATTAATTTTTTTTTCTTTTCCAGAATACAGATGTTTCATTCGGCAGTATGTGCTTTAATGGATAATTGCCACAAGTAGGCTATATGTTCATGAAAATTTTACAAGTTTGAGAGCAGTAAACCACAGTGTTAATATATTCAGCAATCCTGCCATATCTCCTTTTTTAAATCATCTGAATTTGTCTTGCATCTGATGACTTCATTTACAAAGAAGACAGAATAAAAGAGCTAAGTTTGTGCACAGAAACTATCATGGTGTCATGATTTACTTTTCATTGAATATTTCAGCAACTTTCATCTAATTGCTTTTCTATATTTGGTCCCAGCAATTTCATCTAATAGATATGTTGGAACCATATAAAAGCTTCAGCCTGATGCCAAATTCAAAGGGCTGAAATTCTGAGAAAATAAATTGTCTGGAACAAAACAAAACAGGAATTTGATTTGTAACTCATAATTATCCCAAAATCCTCTAAATATCTAAAGGTATAACATAATAAATGAAGAATGTGTCCAATTTACAAACGGACAACATAACTCAAGAACAGCAATAGTGACGCCACCCAAATTCAAACTTGATCTGTGTTTGGTAGTAATAAGCATTGTATATAAGTTTCATAACATTTGGTCGAGGCAAACTAAAGTAAGAGAACAGAAACTAATTTTGGGACGTATAGACGGACAAGGGTGAAACTTACAGCCCCCTCCACTGCAGCGAGGGCATAAAAAAGACAACTGTATTATTTAGAAAGAATAGAAGCATTAATTTGGGTAAAACTATATGCCCTGGACAGTTGGTGATAGGGAATTAAAATCAAATTGGATTTTACCTAAATGAAACACTGATAGTGAGTGATAATAATGGATTAAGCATTTATATTATTGATTCTACATACTTATTGTTTTTTCCTATTCCTTGTCCTTCTTTCCATCCCATTCCTCTTAACATAGCTAACCCAAACTGGTCTATAGGTATTTCTTCATAGTCATTTTCTTCAGGCTAAAAATATATCAATGAAAAATTAAGTATGATTGTAAAACTTTTATGTTAACATGTACTTCCATATATCTTTTCTGAAAAGTATCTGTATTTTCATATAAATATATGCATATTGCAGATTATTTTGAAATGACAATGGTATATTTTCAAATAGCTACTCTGCTTTGGATGAAATCATCATGTTTTTCTTATAATATATTATTCTGGTCACTGTTTCACAAAAGTTACCTGTAAGTCATGAGCAGTTCTAAATACATGTATATATAGTTCTAGATATATGTATTTGCAATCATTTTTGGTCAATATAATTTTTGAAAAAAACACTGGCCTGATTTTTTGTTAATTAAAATATATGTTATCTAGACCTTTTGCTAAATTATAATTGTATACTAAGTCATTCAAACCTGTTTTCAATTTGTGCCTAAGTGACTAAGTCAAAAGAATAACACGGATAAACTCCTTTGAAATTGTAATAATTCCTACAACATAACTTACTTAAACAACTAGTTTTCACTATAAAGCTCAAATAATGAAATATCTAATATTTTTAATTGGAACTACATGAATATAAAATAATTCTAATTATATTAATAAAGTACCTCATCAGGTCTTAAGCCTACATCTAACTTGTCATCTGTTTCATAACCTTCTGGAATTTTATTTTGCATCAAGAGAGGTATATTTAATCCCATATCTGTCTTCCCCTTTCCTTGTTCAGCTTCCTGGAACTTTCTTGCATCTGAAAAAAAATGTCAATTAAGTATACATATACACTTTTATTTGCATATTTTTATTCATTTTGTGTGTTCATTTACTAACAAATCACCATAAAAAAATTATTTATTTAATACTTAAAACAGCATATGTGTACAGTAACGATTTAAACAGCTTATGTGTACATTAAGAAATATACAAGTCTCAATTGAAAACAACGTTTAAACCTATATAAATATATATGCGTTTTTTGATCTTTTGGAAAATGTTGTTTGTGCTGTATTTAGACCCCTCTACCAAGAAATTTGTTTTGCATGCACACATATAAAAATTGCGGTTTTTATCCAACGCAATCATAGGTTTGAACGTTGTTTTCAATTTAGACTTGTTTATATTTTTTCGTTTGGGCTTGTATTATATTTGCCTTCAGGTTTATATAATCCGTTCATCCTATTTCGACTCTTCAAAATTCAAGAGTCAATCCTAAATTGAGGTAAATTATATGGCCTTCCAAATACCGTTTCGATTCCTAACATCACTGAAGAGACATTAATTGTCGAAATCCGGATATGATGTACAAATTTTTGCACCTCAATGTTTGCGGTATACCATCTTTTCCGCAAGTTTATTGTTTTCTGTTTAGTATTAAATTTAAAAGTAAGATCCATTTATTACATCTGTGATCCGTTTATTTGGCAATCGCCATGGCAGTCAGCAGAGTTTAAGAACATCTGTTGTGCGACCTGCTAGTCAATTGCGTTTAGTTAAAATATACTTTTTTGGTCTTTTGGAAAATGTTGTTTGTGCTGTATTTAGACCCCTCTACCAAGAAATTTGTTTTGCAGGCACACATATAAAAATTGCGGTTTTTATCCAACGCAATCATAGGTTTGAACGTTTTTTCAATTTAGACTTGTTTATATTTTTTCATTAGGGCTTGTTTTATATTTGCCTTCAGGTTTATATTATCCGTTCATCCTATTTCGACTCTTCAAAATTCAAGAGTCAATCCTAAATTGAAGTAAATTATATGGCCTTCCAAATACCTTTTCGATTCCTAACATCACTGAAGAGACATTAATTGTCGAAATACTGATATGGTGTACAAATTTTTGCACCTCAATGTTTGCGGTATACCATCTTTTCCGCAAGTTTATTGTTTTCTGTTTAGTATTAAATTTAAAAGTAAGATCCATTTATTACATCGGTGATCCGTTTATTTGGCAATCGCCATGGCAGTCAGCAGAGTTTAAGAACATCCGTTGTGCGACCTGCTAGTCAATTGCGTTTAGATAAAATATTCTTTTTTGGTCTTTTGGAAAATGTTGTTTGTGCTGTATTTAGACCCCTCTACCAAGAAATTTGTTTTGCAGGCACACATATAAAAATTGCAGTTTTTTTCCAACGAAATCATAGGTTTGAACGTTGTTTTCAATTTAGACTTGTTTATATTTTTTCGTTTGGGCTTGTATTTTATTTGCCTTCAGGTTTATATTATCCGTTCATCCTATTTCGACTCTTCAAAATTAAAGAGTCAATCCTAAATTGAGGTAAATTATATGGCCTTCCAAATACCGTTTCGATTCCTAACATCACTGAAGAGACATTAATTGTCGAAATACTGATATGGTGTACAAATTTTTGCACCTCAATGTTTGCGGTATACCATCTTTTCCGCAAGTTTATTGTTTTCTGTTTAGTATTAAATTTAAAAGTAAGATCCATTTATTACATCGGTGATCCGTTTATTTGGCAATCGCCATGGCAGTCAGCAGAGTTTAAGAACATCCGTTGTGCTACCTGCTAGTCAATTGCGTTTAGATAAAATATTCTTTTTTGGTCTTTTGGAAAATGTTGTTTGTGCTGTATTTAGACCCCTCTACAAAGATATCTGTTTTGCATGCACACATATAAAAATTGCGGTTTTTATCCAACGCAATCATAGGTTTGAACGTTGTTTTCAATTTAGACTTGTATATATATATATTGAAAAGTTATAAAATTTGTCCAAGCTGTGCATAAAATAGGAAAAAATTAAGACTGAAAATGCACTAAACATTTAAATTCAATATGAATAACCACATTTTGTCTATTAAGACATCAAATTGTTCTAAAATGTTCTCCAGTAGGAAATTTTGCAGAACTTTTTAGACAATTTGATGTCTAAATAGACAAAATGTGATTATTCATATTGAATATAAATATTTAGTGCATTTTCAGCCTTATTTTTACCTATATACATGTATATATATATATATAATTACTCTAAATATCAGCACAACAACGTTAAATCTGCAAACTTGCGGTAGCAAATTTTTGTTCTTCCCTTGACGGGATTCGAACTCATGCAATTGAGATTACGAGACAACACACCTACACTGTGTTCAGCGCTCTTGACCAATCAGCCACCTAGACTGAACTAAAAATTCAGCTTTTGGTGGCCTAGTGTTACCTTTCCTCAACTGTAGAATCTAGAGTTGTAACACAGTACATGATATATTAGGCATGAAGATGGAATTGATTGCAGATTAGCTAAATTATCTATTGTAAAGGATCGTAAGATGCAGTCACAGAAATAATTATTTGATAAGTTTGTCTAACCAAGTGACAACTCTATGACAGATCCATCCATTGGATCACCAGTAAAGGTGATACATGGCTGAAAACACATATTATATTCATAATTACTCATAATATCAGCACAACAATGTTAAATCTGCAAATTTGCAGAAGCAAATATTTGTTCTTCCCTCGACAGGATTCATTATTATAAGACTCCTTTACCAAGAAATTTGTTTTGCATGCACATGTATAAAAATTGTGGTTTTTATCCAACGCAATCATAGGTTTGAACGTTGTTTTAAATTTAGACTTGTTTATATTTTCATGTATATATAATGTCTAAAAATAGCAACAATCAACAATCAATCCATTTAGGCGTGGATCAGCTTGTGAAAATAAACTGATACAGTTACTAAATTAAAATTATATAAATGTCTAAGAATATAACTTAAACACGCTAATTGATATATTAAACTAGAGGCTCTCAAGAGCCTGAGTTGTTCACCTGTATCTACTGTGGTTTTGGAAATCATGTAAAATAAGGTTAAAATCATAAAAAATAGTATTAGAAACATCAATAATGATTGAGACCAAGTTTGGTTTAATTTGGCCCAGTAGTTAAATTAAAAGCAGATCATCATTGTAGTCTTACAATAGTTACTGAAGACCCCTTATCATTATTTAAACTAGTTTTCAAGTTGTGACCATTTGAAATTGTTTTTTTACAATTTTCCCATAGACTTCTATAGTAAACCCTTATGTTCTATTTTTAACAATGGCGGCCATGTTGGATGGATGGCAGGGTCATCGGATACATTTCTAAATCAAGATACCCTTTCGAAAATTGTGGCTAAGTTTAATTCTATTTGGCCCAGTCCATAAAGTGGAATAACTCCAAGTTTGGTTTAATTTGGCCCAGTAGTTTCAGAGGAGAAGATTTTTGTAAAAGATTACAAAAATTTATGAAAAATTGTGAAAAATTGACTTTAAAGGACAATAACTCCTGAAAGGGTCAATTGACATTTTTGATCATGTTGACTTATTTGTAGAGCTTACTTTGCTGAACATTTTTGCTGAGTACAGTTTATCTCTATATATTCAAGATAATAACCAAAAACTGCAAAATTTCCTTAAAATTACCAATTCTGGGGCAGCAACCCAACAATGAGTTGTCTGATGCGTCTGAAAATTTCAGGGCAGATAGATCTTGACCTGACGAACATTTTTACCCCATGTCAGATAGGCTCTACATGCTTTAGTTTCAGAGATATAATCCAAACTGCATTTTACCCCCATGTTCTATTTTTAGCCATGGTGGCCATCTTGGTCGATGGGCGGGTGTCAACGGATATATTTTTTTAACTAAATACCCTAAGGATGATTTAGGCCAAGTTTGGTTTAATTTTGCCCGTTATTTTCAGAGAAGATTTTTGTAAAAGATTACAAAAATTTACGAAAAATTGTGAAAAATTGCCTTTAAAGGGCAATAACTCCTGAAGGGGTCAACTGACAATTTTGATCATGTTGACTTAGTTGTAGAGCTTACTTTGCTGAACATTTTTGGTGTTTACAGTTAATCTCTATCTATTATAATATTCAAGATAATAACCAATAAATGGGGAATGTGTCCATGGGACACAGATGATGCCCCCGCTAGTCTATCATATAAAGTTATAAAGGGACATAACAGTAATAGTGACGCTACCCAAATTTGTACTTGATCTGAGTTTTGTGGTAATTACAATTGTGTATAAGTTTCATAACATTTGGTTGAGGCAAACTTAAGTTAGAGAACGGAAACGAAAAATTCAGCAATTTTTCCATTTGTAAAGGGGCATAACTCTAGAACAATAAGAGTGACTCCCCCCCAAAAAAAACCAGATCTGTATTTTGTAGTAATAAGCATTGTGTATAAGTTTTATAACATTTGGTTGAGGTTAACTTAAGTTAGAGAACGGATACAAAACATTCAGCAATTTTTCCATTTGTAAAGGAGCATAACACTAGAATAATAAAAGTGACACCTTCAAAATTCAAACTTGATCTGTATTTTGTGGTAATAAGCATTGTGTATAAGTTTCATAACATTTGGTTGAGGCTAACTTAAGTTAGAGAACAGAAACAAAAAATTCAGTAATTTTTCCATTTGTAAAGGGGCATAACTCTAGAACCGTTCAAGTGACACCACCAAAATTCAAACTTGATCTGTATTTTGTGGTACTTAGCACTGTGTATAAGTTTCATAGCTTTTGGTTGAGGCAAACTAAAGTTAGAGAACGGAAACAAAAAATTCAGCAATTTTTCCATTTGTAAAGGGGCATAACTTTAGAACAATAAAAGTGACACCCCAAAAATTGAAACTTGATCTGTATTTTGTGGTAATAAGCATTGTGTATAAGTTTCATAGCATTTGGTTTAGGCAATCTTAAGTTAGAGAACAGATGGACGGACGTACAGACGGAAAAGGGTAAAACTTAATGCCCCCTCCGCTACGGCAGGGGCATAAAAACTGCAAAATTTCCTTAAAATTACCAATTCAGGGGCAGCAACCCAACAACCAGTTGTCTGATGCGTCTGAAAATTTCTGGGCAGATAGATCTTGACCTGATGAACATTTTAACCTCATGTCTGATTGCCTCAAAATGCTTTAGTTTCAAAGATATAAGCCAAACTGCATTTTACCTCCCATGTTCTATTTTTAGCTATGGCAGCCGTCTTTGTTGTTGTTGAGGTCATCAGATACATTTTTTAAACTAGATACCCTAAGGATGATTTAGGCCAAGTTTGGTTTAATTTGGCCCAGTAGTTTCAGAGGAGAAGATTTTTGTAAAAGATTACAAAAATTTACGAAAAATTGACTTTAAAGGGCAATAACTCCTAAAGGGGTCAATTGACAATTTTGGTTATGTTGACTTATTTGCAGAGCTTACTTTGCTGAACATTTTTGGTGTTTACAGTTTATCTCTATCTATTATAATATTCAAGATAATAACCAATAAACTGCTTCGCTGAGCACAGCTGGATACGTCCGCAGAGGTCCAACCCTGAACAGTTGGGGCAAAAATGGACACAATATTCAAGCTTGATACAGGTCTGAACTGGAAAATCCCCCTTTTTTTAGTGAATAAAACCCCATAACTCAGAAATGTAAAATCTAAAATTTATAAAATTCTAGGGAGCTTACATCAACAGATATAAACAATTCACCAAAGTTTCATGAGAACTGCTGAAAGCATTTTTTAGTTATTGTCAGAAAACTGGAAAATCACCCTTTTTTTATGAATAAAACCCTGTAACTCGGAAACGTAAAATCTAAAATTTATAAAAAATCGAAAGGGAGCTCATGTCAATAGGTATAAACAATTCACCAAAATTTCTTGTAAGTTGGTGAAAGCATTCTTGAGTTATTGTCGGAAAACTGGAAATTCCCCCTTTTTCAATGAATAAAACTCAGAAACGGTAAATCTGAAATTTATAAAAAACAAAAGGGAGCTCACGTCAATAGATATAAACAATTCACCAAAGTTTCATGCATATTAGTTAAAGCTTTTTTGAGTTGATGCCCGACATGTTGACGACAGACGGACGGACAGACGGTTAACGGTATACCATAATACGTCCCGTAAACGGACGTATAAAAACTGCAAAATTTCCTTAAACTTACCAATTCAAGGGCAGCAACCCAACAATGGGTTGTCTAATGTGTCTGAAATTTGTAGGGCAGATAGATCTTGACTTGATGAACATTTTTACCCCTGTCTGATTGCCTCTAAATGCTTTAGTTTCAGAGATATAAGCCAAACTGCATTTTACCCCCCATGTTCTATTTTTAGCCATGGCTGCCATCTTGGTTGATGGACGGGGTCATCCGATAATTTTTTTTAACTAAATACCCTAAGGATGATTTAGGCCAAGATTGGTTTAATTTGGCCCAGTAGTTTCAGAGGAGAAGATTTTTGTAAAAGATTTTAAAAATTTACGAAAAATTGTGAAAAATTGACTTTAAAGGGCAGTAACTCCTTATGGGGTCGATTGACAATTTAGGTCATGTTGAATTATTTGTAGATCTTACTTTGCTGAACAATTTTGCTGCTTACAGTTTATCTCTATCTATTATAATATCAAGATAATAACCAAAAACTGCAAAATTTCCTTAAAATTACCAATTCAGGGGCAGCAACCCAACAACGGGTTGTCTGATGCATCTGACGATTTCATGGCAGATAGATCTTGACCTGATTAACATTTTTACCCAATGTCAGATTTGCTCTAAATGCTTTAGTTTCAGAGATATAAGCCAAAAACTGCATTTTACCCCCATTTTCTATTTTTAGCTATGGCGGCCATCTTGGTTGATGGGCGGGGTCATTGGATGAATTTTTTTAAAAAGATACCCTAAGGATGATTTAGGGCAAGTTTGGTTTTATTTGGCCCAGTAGTTTCAGAGGAGAAGATTTTTGTAAAAACAACGGACGACAGGCAACGGACGCCAAATGATTGGAAAAGCTCACCAGGCCAGGTGAGCTAAAAAGTTGTATTAGATTTTAAATAGATATATGCAATATTTCGATAGACAAACTAGATTCATCAGGTGTATGCAGCTATCCAGGTGAAATTGGATACATGACAACAAAATTTTTGTAGCTTAAACTACACACAATTGGAATAAAAGTTTAACATATTTATTGATGTTGTATAAATTGTAAGAATTTCAAGATTATTGTTTTGATTTATTTTAAATCTTTTTCGTCTCTCTCATTGAGTCCATCAGGTTCAAGAGTCCTTAACTGGTGCATCCACAATCTCCCTCTCTTTCTCTCCCTTGCATGTCCCAATTTTGGTTTTTCTCAATGATTTGAAATGTGACGTTTTCAAAATCATGCCCTTCTCTTAAAAGATGCCTTGTGATTGGGCAGTTTCTTTCTTTTGTATCAAATGACCGATGGTTATTCAGTCGGATGTTGAATTGTGTATATATATACATATATATATATATATCTCACGTCAATCTGCCAAAGGTTTGTGTTCTCTCCACGTACTCAGGCTTTCTCCACTAATAACTTAGCACCCATGATATAGCCAAGTGTGAAATTTGTGTTCAACACCAACAATCAATCAATCGATCTGTGGTGCCCTTTATACGAACACTTGTTTGTTGGTGCAGAACTTTGTGTTACAAGATTAAGTTTACCTTCTACCAGTTCCTGAACAGCACTGTCCTCAATTTGATTTCCAGATGCATTAACCCTCCACTTGTTTTCTTTAATTAAAGGTATAACATACTCTTTGGCTTTGGGTTTTGTGCTGCAATTATAAAACCATAAATTAATATTGAAATGGAGAATATCCTATTACCTTACTTTCCCTTGGCTTTACAAGTTAAACTAAAAATTCAACTGTAAAGACTTGAGAAATATTGAATAACACTCTGTTGAAAAACTTTGCTTCTTAGGAACTATAGGAATACATTAATGATCTTTGTTTGCACTAATCTGCAAAAAAAAAAAATGTAAGCATAAAGTACTGCATCTGTCTTCATATTGATCATAAAGTAATAATTAACTTGTTCTATAAGAAAAGTTAAGTTCAGCATGTCCAAATATGATTTTTATTTCCTAAAGGGAGTTAATCTGTCACATGAATTAGTTCAACTGTTGATTAGCAATTTCATACAATTTAGTCAAAAGTTTTAAATATATATAATAACATGCATAAAGATATACAATGTTATACATGTATATCACTTGGAATGTTGCTGTGGTCTGGATTTAGGTAATAAAATGCTTTTCTTCAGCTTTTATTCAAGTTATATTTTTAATCAAATAATACTTTAAGAAAAAGAAATGTTACCTGTAGATAGCTTTTCTTTGTTTACATTTAAATGATGTCATAAATAAATCATAACGACAAGACCAACATTGCACATGTTTTTTTGTAAATGTTACATATTTGTGTTGTTTATATGTGTTATCTCATGTATTTAGTAGCAGTCCAATTGTTTGGATTTTACACTAATAAATATCTTATCTCAAAGCCAATCATGTAGGGGATCCCAAAAATTCATGATTTTGGTTTGTTATGTATTAAATGTCATAATTTGTAAAATGTAAAAACAAGAGTGCACACACTGAAATGTCTCGCCTGCTTTACTGACCAATGATTTTATGTTGATAGGCCTAAATACAAAGTTTAACTATAAGTATCACATAAACTTAACATGATCAAAGAAACGTACAATCATTCCATACACCAAATATAGTTGACCTATTGCTTATAGTACACAAGAAACGGACCAAACCATGAAAACTTTATATTGACCAATGAACCATGAAAATGAGGTCAAGGTCAGATCTGAGATATGGACTTGACCACGAAAACTTAACCTTGTTCACTGATCCATGAAATGAGGTTGAGGTCAAGTGAAAACTGTCTGACAGGCATGAGGACCTTGCAAGGTACACACATACCAAATATAGTTATCCTATTACTCATTATAAGAGAGATATTAAGATTAAAACAAAATCTTAACTTTTTTTTATAAAATAGTAACTGAACCATGAAAATGAGGTCAAGGACAATGGACATATGACATACGGATACTCCATAACATAAGGCATCTATATACAAAGTATGAAGCATTCTGGTCTTCTACCTTCTGAAATATTAAGCTTTTAAACAGTTAGTAAAGCTGCCACTGCCGCCTCCAGATCACTATCCCTAGGTCTTCCTTTCTGCGACAGAAGTTGCAGGCTCTACAATAATTGATGGCCTTAGTAATACATGTATGATTCATAACCATCATGACCATTTTACAGTTTTACAGTTTTACTGAAGTTTTAGTTTGGCAAAAATAAGTATTTAAATTGTTATTTATACAGACTTCACCCTTTTTCACAGGTAAACCTGCCTCATAACACATAAAAGGGGATAACAGGAATAGCCTATGCCTGAATTTTTCATCCCCAATAACAGTAAGAAAATCGATAAAACAAAAATCAATATTCTAATAACTCAAAATCGTTAACTTTTTTACTTTTTTCTTACAGTTGAGCTTGCACATATCCCTTTTCCTGTTCTGTTGACGAACACTGCCATGTTGTAAGTTGTATGATTTCCCACAAATTTGTATATCTGATTACCAAAAGAATAATGAGAATGAACATTTTCAATTTATTATGTTTGTGAACATAATAAAATGAGTCTAGAGCTTGTTCAACATATGATTTTAGAGCAAACAAAATGAGTTCTCGGTGGAAACTCACCTCAGATCAATCAGGCAGATTTTTGTATCTGTACAAAGATCAGTAAGAAGCCGACTTTGTACTAATGTATATTCATTGTTTTTAGGTATAATTTTTTTATGTTTTTAATTAAACTATACTTGAAAATGGGAAAAAAGTGCTACCTGAAGAAAGTGTTTCTTTGATAACCTGGCATCCTGGTAAATTATTTTCAATTTCACAAGCTTCACTTCAAATAAAATCTGCTTACAGTATTGAGAATATGAGAATATATTGTGTCAGGAGCCCAGACTATTTATTTGTTTACATTGAAAATGACGTCATATATAAAATTCCTAACAATAGGACCAACATCAAATAAGTTTCTGTAATAGGGCAGCCATACTGAATAGGGGCAGGTTTTTGAATCGAGGTGGAAATAGAAAGAAATTACGAGACAATGGTGAACCTATCCATGTTTCCAAGCAACAGTTCTATTTCAATGATGTTTTCCTGTATATTTCAAAGCATTTTAACCTCCATTGTGAAAATTTGAGCCCTATTCAATACGGCTGCAATAACCGTGAAGTGCTCTATTCATTTACTTTTTCACCAGAAATTATGCTGGAAATAATTTACAATTAGGCCAACCTTAAAAATACAAAATGTATGTTTGTTTGCAGTTTTCCGACTGTACATGTACCTTCAGACTGCAGGGTCGGTAGGTAGGAAAAATATTTTATAGTATCAGCCAAAATAAAGTTTAAACAAGCAGTTACACAAACCAAGTTTCTTGTGAAGAAAAAAAACATTTTAAAACAACAAACACTGAAAACCAACATGAAATGAACAGGCATTTCAGGTAAAAACCTTTTTAACCAAAACTGAAACTTAACATAGTGTCATTATACAATTTATGACATAAAAATATGGAATTATGAAATACTGAAACACTTATAAACAAGGATTAATGACTAGAATTGTTGTAAAGAAACATATTCACTGACATATCTGCATCTTTACTAGAATGTTTTCATGAGTAGAGTATTTGCATCAGAAAAATGTAGATATTAAAGATTCAAAAGACAATGTAGGATTCTAGTGTGTTAAAAAAAATATCAACCATTGAATCTTCAATAGAAAAAAAAGACAACTTAAAAAACATATATATTAGACATCTGACTGTTATAAAGGTTATATTTTGAAAGTTATGTTGATGCCAGGCTTTAATTAAAACAAACAAAAATCTTAAGACCAGCTTTGGTGTGAAATCCATAGTACCCCATTAAAAGTAAATGGTCTGTACTGAAATGTTTTGACTGCATACAATAAAATGCTCCGCTGGGCAAGTATGGACACAACATTCAAGCTTGATACAGCACTGAATTTGGATTGTAATTAAATATTTGACACAGCATACATGTAGGTTTCTGACACAGAATGAATGTGGTCTAAGAACTTAATTTTTTTTAATTTACCTATTCAAACCATATCATTATTATTTGCTTTTATATATAAATCAGAAATAACCAATTTAAAATGGAAAATTTTAAAGAAAAAAAAGGGAAAAAAATCCCCCCCCCCCCCACAATTTTTTTAACCCCCTTATGATTCATCACCCCCAAACTCAATCCCAGCCTTCTCTTTGTGGTATGGTACCTTGCAGTACAATTTCAGAGAGATCAATACACTTGAACACAAGTTATTGTCTGGAAACTAGAAAAATGCTTGTTTTTTGGCCCCTTTTTGGCCCCAAATTCCCTAAACGTTTAGGGCAATTACCTCCAAACTCAAACCCAGCTTTCCCTTTGTGATATGGAACCTTGTAGTACAATTTCATAAAGATCCATACACTTACACACAAGTTATTGTCCTGAAACTAGAAAAATGCTTGTTTTTTTGCCCCTTTATGGCCCCTTGTTCCTAAAATTTGAGGCAATTACCCCCAAAATCAATCCCAGCCTTCCCATTGTGGTATGGTACCTTGCAGTACAATTTCAGAGAGATCCATACACTTGAACACAAGTTATTGTCTGGAAACTAGAAAAATGCTTATTTTTGGCCCCTTTTTCCTAAACATTTTGGGCAATTACCCCAAAACTCAAACCCAGCTTTCCCTTTGTGATATGGAACCTTGTAGTACAATTTCATAAAGATCCATACACTTACACACAAGTTATTGTCCTGAAACTAGAAAACTGCTTGTTTTTTGCCCCTTTTTGGCCCCTAATTCCTAAAATTTGGAGGCAATTACCCCCAAAATCAATCCCAGCATTTCCTTTGTGATATGGAACCTTGTGGTACTATGTCAGAGAGATCCATACACTTACACACAAGTTATTGTCATGAAACTAGAAAACTGCTTGTTTTTTGCCCCTTTTTGGCCCCTAATTCCTAAAATTTGGAGGCAATTACCCCCAAAATCTATCCCAGCATTCCCTTTGTGATATGGAACCTTGTGGTACTATGTCAGAGAGATCCATACACTTACACACAAGTTATTGTCATGAAACTAGAAAAATGCTTGTTTTTTGCCCCTTTTTCCTTAAATTTGGAGGCAATTACCCCTAAAATCGTTCCCAGCCTTCCCTTTGTGATATGGAACCTTGAGGTACAATGTTAGAGAGATCCACACACTAACACACAAGTTATGTCTGGAAGTTACAAAAATGCTTATTTTTTGCCCCTTTTTGGCCCCTAATTCCTTAACTGTTGGTACCATTACCCCCAAAATCAATCCCCACCTTCCTTTTGTGGTATTGAACCTTATTGTTAAAATTTCATAGAGATCCATTCACTTAAACTTAAGTTAGAGTGCGAAAACCAATGTGTCTTCGGACGACGACAACGAAGCCAACGTCATACCAATATACGACCGCAAAATATTTTTGCGGTCGTATAAAAATTGGCAGCATAGCTCCTAAGGACATGTTACCATTCAATTCACACAGGCCACAGTTTGGGTATATTTAACATTTTTAATATTGTAAGAGAGACTGTGGAATAATTGCAATGAGTGGGGCAGCCCCCCTTATCCTAAAGGAGCATACTCATTGCAATCGAAGATAGATTTGATACAGAGAGAATATATTTATTTCTCAAGCCAACCATTCATTTTCTCTACATTTTTGTGTAGTTTGTGTGGCTTCTTATTGATTTAACATTTCAAATGCGCCCTTCCACCATACAGGCATGTTTACAGGTATCCATGAAGTCATGGAGGAGTGGTTTCATCTTTGTCCTCTTCACAACGATTTAAAGAAAATATGGCATACTTCAGGCTGCTGTCGAATTGTTGAACCACTGATATTGGTTCCATAAAGTCAGTCTCAAAAGATTCTGTATCCGATTTGTTTGAGACAGAAACGGTTATCGTGTCAGTTTTATGAATATCAGCTGCATCATCGTCAATGATATCATCGAAGACATCATTCCATGTGCAATTCTGCCTGAATCAGTATAAACAGTTTACTATGAAACTTTTCTGTGTATTATTTGTCTTAAAATTGACAGAAGACAACAGAATAAAGTACTCCTCCATGACTTCGTGGATACCTGTAAACATTCGCCATGTGCTTTACCATTAAAGGGTCTGATGAAGGCTTGTAGATGAATGCTTGACAGGAAAGGAAGAAAAACCGAACTTCAAACGTGTAATTGACTTAGACTTTAAATAAATTACGGAATCGACCCGAAATTCCGGATTGAGTCAATAGAAGTATTAAAAATAATTTCTTCAAATTAAAAGCAATAAAACTTTCACAGTCTGGCGGATTTTCAAAGGTCGGTCGGTAAACTGCAAACAAACAACATTTTAATTTAATCCTAAATGTTTATCAGGTCAGGAATAACCACCAATTGGTGGATTATACCTCAATTGACGTATAATCCACCAATTGACATATAATGGTATAGACCAATTGGCGTATTCTTCTTTGTTTTTCAAAGCAAATTATTCAACCAAAATGGAGCATTGTTTTCTTAAAACCATATTATTGTATGAAAACATGTCAAACATTCCTAGTTTAGTATAGTGACATAACATATTGCATTTAATCAATAATTGTATTTGCAGTTTCTTCTATTGTCAATGGACATCAATACTGTCTGCAGTCATGTGATTATGAGTACAACTCCACAGGTGAATGGAGCTCTTTGTTAATACTTGACTTTCATTATTAAAAGTCAATCATGGTCAATAGTACAGATGTTTCAACAAAAGAATTGTTGTACACATGCATTCTCAAGAGATGCAGCAGGCTTTGACAAAACTGAAACTTTCGGAGGACTCAATAATGGTCATAAAATAGGTTGTAAGTTGCAAAATGATGCTCCTATCTCACACTAGCATTTTAAATTAAAAAAATGCATTATACGTCAATTGGTCTATACCAATATATGTCAATTGGTGGATTATACGTCAATTGAGGTATAATCCACCAATTGGTGGTTATTCCTGACCTGTTTATATGTATAAATCTGCTGTTAATTGAATATCTTTAAGTTTTCTGAAGGTTTGTTGACTTCGTCCCCATTCACAGGTACATATAACACCTGCCTCATATAAATTATTTAAAGCTTAAAGCACAGTACAAAATACATCAACCACCAACACCTTTTCAGGCTTTTGTTACCTTTTAGCAAAGTTCTCATCTACCTCGGTTACGAATTCTGCCTCGTCGTTCTTTTCGATTTCTCCTTCGCTTATTTTGGATATTCCCAAAGACTTGTTCTTTTTTATTTTTGAAAATCCAAAGGACACTGTTTTCTGTTCCATTTTGTGATTTTGAGATCTTCGTCGATTTTGATTTATAAACAGGAAGTGTACGTTTTACGTACGTTCAATACAGGAGAGTCCGAGTAGATTGCAATTCAGTCGTTAAAAAAAAGAGAAATCTGGTTAAATTAAACTGGTGTGGCCAATTGACTTTCTTAAAACCATTTATTAACTTTCAGTGCGAAATTTTATGATTTTATGGTTTTAAATTGATAAACTTTGTATCACTGCCAATAAGCATAGCGACCGACCAATGAAAAAATGGCCGCCATATTTTGAAAAGTTTTGTGCTGAGTCCCAAACATAACCATCCAACTTATCTACATTCATATTAGTATTCATATTGAGTGACTGAATAGCAAATAATAACATTTTCTGTCTGCAGTAATAATAACATTGCTTTTCCGCTTCATGCATATATAGTACGCCGCTTCATGCATCAACACTAGCTATGCACGCATAGATATCTGAAATATATATATATAAACATTTTAATCTAACATATATCATTGTTTGTATTGTATTATGAAAAATTATTGATGTTGTAATGTTTATGCCCTTTGGGGCCCATAATTGGAAATAAAAATATCTTATCTTATCTTATCTTATAGTTCTAGTCATCAATATTCATCGTCACGACTTAGAAAGCTTTAAACTGTAAAATATATATGTCCGAGACAAAATTAGTAAAGTATCTTCAGAGACCTATTGCACCTGTCAATGGTAGTTTAAAATACACACCTGTAATATTAGCAGATAGCAAAGGATTTTGTTTAAGAATTCAAGTCACAACTCCAGAAGATAGACATATAAAATGGTGGTGTAAAAGTGGCTCCAAAATTCAAGACAGTTATAGCTGGCTCAATAACAACATTCATAGTAGAATCAGAGACATATATGTATTATATGTCTCTGGTAGAATTAAAAATATTGGAAAAATTCACATCTATATTTGGCTAGGCACCTGCAATCTAACTACTAAATGCAAGAAAAAGATTACACTGAACAGTCAAGGAGATCAAACAGTTGATTATATTGTGCAATACTTTTACACATTTATTGAACTGTTAAGTCAATATCCAAGCTCAAAGTTAACATTTTTAGAAGTAACAGTATATTCTATAAAAGGGTATAATAAATCAACAGACAACAATCTAATACAAGAATATAAAACCTTAGATAAAGAACTTGAACGCCAAATATTTGTGCTCAATGGACATATAAGACATTTGAACACCCAACTTAACACAAGCTCCCCTGATTTCTCCATTCATCTGAAGGTTTCTTCGAAACGTCGTACTCGCTCTCGTACGGAAACAGTCCATTACTATAATTACTCATTATACAGTGACGGAATCCATCCAAAACAAAATTTAGCATTAGTCTGGCTACGTGAAATCTCCGAGAGAGTCAAAACTGACTGCTGGTCGTGAACAGTGGAGTAATAAGAAATAGCAACTGAATAACTGCCGATAGTGTTTCAGTACGGTCTGCATGGGAACTCCAAGCTAACTGTATCTGAACGCACATACTCAAAATCAGTTATTATGGCGCTAACTACAAAAACTCCCAATATCAACACTAGTAACAAAGTTATTGATCACATACACGACTCTGACACCATCACAAAATGCTACAGCTTGAATTTTGAAAAAGCCTTGAAAAAGAAACTTGATGCTACAAAACGCACAGAAATATCTTATGAAATAACGGGTGGTGGTCTGACCGCTGAGCTTGACGCAATATCATTTGAGCTTCTTCTATTTGCTTGCAAGACTCTTTACAATGACATGTCAAATGTTCGCATTGACATAAGCAAAGATAAAGGTGGCAACATAGTACAATATACATTCATGGTTAAAGATGGCAATAATGGAGGTTATACAATCAATCTATATACAACTAGATGCTTTATGTTAGTCAATGGCAAAAAGACAAATTACTTTATTCAGGAAGATCTTGAAAAAATCCATACAATCATGAGGAAAACAAATCTGAAAGGCATAAAAATAGACAAAGATAACCTCAATAAATTACTGGCAGATACGCTTGAATATATCCTAAGCAATGTAGAGGCTAACAATACAACTTCTGTTGACTCTAACCCTGTTAAATGCTTGAAATGTAAACGTAATTGCAAGACTAGGGCAGTACAGTGTATAAATGGTCACTGTGTACATTACTCTTGTGAAAAATTATCCCTCACAGAAATTCAAAACCTACCACATATTGAATATTGTTGTAAAACATGTAGCAAGCAACCTTTTACTGTACCGTATGCTATCACGGCTGCTGAAGTTTTATTAAGAGAGGAGACGATAGATGATGAAAAATGTCTAGTGTGCAATGATGAAATGACGGATGACAAACAAGCCTGTCCAACATGCAACCACATTTCTCATAACAAGTGCTTCAACATCAACTCTGATCAATGTTACAGCTGCCATGCAATAGAAGAACAACGAACTCTTAGTGAAAATCAAACACGGGTAGAAAATAAAAGTAATATCGACGAATTTATTGACCACCAAACGGATGCAAGTCATGATGACACAACAACCATTATAGCAAGCAATCACAACTTCTGCAGTGGCCCACAACAGACTATACAGATAGCAAGTGACCAAGTGAACAATACACCACAAACAGTCACATCAGAGAAAGAAAGTATGTCTACTACGCCAATGTTAACCAACAAACAAGAACAACAAACTAAGCAAAAAGAATTAAAGCAACAAGAACTTAAACTGAAAAAAAAGAGGAACAACAACGTTTAAAAGAAGCTGTCGTAAATGATCAATCCAAAGACAAAACTAGACTGTACGACATGATATATAAACTTGAAGCAAGAAATAATGAGCTTGAAAAAACAGTCAAGTCCCTATATCACAAGATCAACAATGAAGACAACACAATGAACAGAAACAATGTAACGCAAGAGAGTAGTAGGTCAGACTCAAACTCAACAAGAAGCAACAACGATAATCTAGCCAATGCTATAAAGGAAAAAGTCTCAGGCTATATATTAAGAAAGGTAGACAAAGAAATAGATCGTCTAATAAGACTAGAAGAAAATGTAAACAATACTCCTGCTGAAACATACAACTATGGATACTATGACTATCCCTCTATTCCTACTCATAGTCAACAAGACATTTACTATAGCAGTCAGCAGCAGAGTTGCCATTACCCCTATTATTAACATGATAACTGGTCATACAACCATCACTACTATCCTGATTGTAATGAATATCAAGAATATCAAGAATATAGTAATAATAGCAACCTCATAACAGTACAATTAGAACAAGAAACAGGAAATATTGATAAAGGAAGGAACCATTCACAACAACAGAATGAAAGAATCAACAAGCACAAACTCAAAACAACTCAGAACTCCACACATGATCATAATATACAAACAGCCCGTCATTCAGAAACTCCACAGTGTGGCTTTACAGGATTGAGCAAGTACAACGCTCTACATACCGAGGGACAACCGATTATTTACAGAGATCAAAGCAAAAATCAGAAAGCAAATTTAGAACATTTTTTATACCAAAAAAGCCTCAGACAGCTGCCATTCTGATAAAAAGTAGCGAAGATGAAAAGACAGATGTAAAAAGTAGACAGTGTCTGAATGTTTTATCTTTTAACTGTAAAAATGTAAATACTTGCGGACTATTACTTAATGATGTAAATAAAATTGCGGATATATGTTTGCTACAGGAAACATGGCTATTTAGCTGTCAAATGGATATGCTTAATGAATTAAACCAAGAATATATTGGAATTGGTAAAGCCGTCGACTCAAAAGATCCAATCCCACCAACACATATGCCTAGAGGTCACGGAGGTGTCGCAATCATGTGGAAAAAACAACTTGATAGTTATATCACACAACTTCCAGATGGGAACGAACGTATACAATGCATTGAATTCAGGGGAGCAGAACCACTTCTAACCATTTCAGTATATCTGCCTTGTAAGGGGTCATCAGACAGTATAGAAGAATTTCAGGAGTGTATAGATCTACTACACGAAATATACTCACAATTTAAAGATACTCACATCATACTACTTGGAGGAGATCTAAATGAAAATGCAAACCAATTTTCTAATAGTAAAAGATCAAAACATCTTCAGGAATTTATGAAAGAACATAATCTTTTAACTAAAGACCTAGATCCGACCTTTATACACCCAAATGGTTGCGACTCGACTTGCATTGACTTCTTCTTATATAGCGAAAATTTCAGCAGGAGTATTGTTAAAATCATCAAGCTTGAAAACATACCTGGAAAAATCTCAGACCACTACCCTATCGTAGCAAGAATTAAATATGACCATTTTATACATAATAAACCTAACAAAGGATATGTCCGACTCCGAAAATCAACTGGGACAAAGTAGATATTGAGAAATATAATTCAACAATAGAAAGTGGCATATTAGAATTGAACAAAAACCTCTAATCTGTACAAGATATTGAACTTGCTTATATAGACTTAAATCAACTATTATCCAAGGCGGCATCAACTTCAGGACCAACCAGACGAATAAGGAAGAAGAAACCAAAACTACAAGTAATGACACCAGAAATTCGTAAAGCTATAACTGACAAGAAAAATGCATACTTTGATTGGAAACAGACCAACCGACCTAATGATCCCAATAATCAGTGGTTACAGAAGAAAAAAGTAACAACTTGTAACCTAAGAAGAGAGTGCAGGTTAACACTAGCAAAACAACAACTAGAAAGGAAAACTGAACTGATTAATGTCAAAAGTAACAACCTCAATTTATTTTTCAAACTTATCCGACGTCAAAGAGGAAGATCTAGTATGCATATTGATGAGCTAAATGTAAACGGACAAAAATACAACACTGAAGGGGGAATCTGGGAGGGCTTTAGAGAACACTTTGCAAATCTTGCTGAACAAAGTGATAATAGTCAATTCGACCAAACATATATTGAACAGGTAGACAACGAATATGCTACTATTATAGATATATGTAAACATGACTTCAAGCACATTCAAGTGAAGAAGCAA